TGAAATATAAGCCTTGCTGCAGAATCAGCTACTACTGCCTGCAAATCATCATGTATTTCGGCAATTTCCTTGTGAATTGATGTTACATTGGCATTCAGTAAGTCGAGCTTCTTAATAATTTTGTAATTTTGACAAAATAATTTAGAATGACTTATACCATGTCCGTCACTGGGGGGCGCCATATTTTCTTTCATCGAAGTACTCGGCTGTGTGCAGTCAGTGGGCTCGCAGAGAGACGTAGACCGAATAAAGGCTCTTTTCGTGACCATATAACCGGGAGGTTCACCCGACGTAGCACCGCTTGAACCTGAAGCCTTCGAAGTCGCTAAAATAGTTTGTTTCCACTTCTAGTTTTCCTGTCACGCAATACGCCGAATCACACCCACCCACCCCGGGGGGGGGGGGGGGGTGAGGGGGGGGGGGGCTAGATCCGCCACTGGTCCTTTATTCGCTTTACTCTTTTCCTTTCTCTCGCTCATAATGTTATAGGATCCGATGGATCACGATATTATACCTCTAATCCGAAAAAGGGGAAATTAAATTAGCAGACTCTCATTCCGGAACCCCTCTCCACTGCATGCTTGATGTTAGCTTGGCAAATACTGGTTAACGCCATCTACGTACTTTTTTGGGGGATAACTGCATGTAAACGATGGACTTGATTAACGGTGGTCAGCGTTTGCGAAACAGACCGAAGTTCTCATCACGCTTCGGTTTCGCGTATGTTGCACGCATTGCTGCGGTCGCGTCGTCCGATTGGCCCCGAGTCAGGTCACGGGAAAGACAAGAAGTCTAGTCAGGCTACACTCCCTTTAAATGAATACGACGGGGAAACTAAAATATAAAAGGTAAACAAAAGCCGTTTTTAAACTGGCGAGAGGGGGGCTCTTAAATGTATTTTAAAATATGACATAGCCTTGGAGCTAACGCTGACGTTAGGTGCGGCTAGCTGCAAGACTGATGTCAGCTATAAACCCCGTTGTTTTTCACCACACCACTATCACTGCCTCCACTAAAGCTTCCCTGATATAGACGTCAGCTATGACCCCGCCCCCCCCCCCCCCACTCCGGGGTTGGAATGACCCCATGCGTGCTACCAAAATGTCCGGTAAAGGGGTCCTTTTCGTGCGACAAAGTCCGGCCCGAGAATTGTAAAAAAAGGGTGTATTAACTTTTCACCCGGAAATTTCTTTAAAAAAGGGGGTGTTTTTTCTTTTTCTCTCTCATTTCTTTGGACTTCTGAAAAATTATTCCGAATTTAGGGGGGTACATTAAACATTTGCCCTGATTTAGGGGGGTCTCCAAGGCAGGAAAAGCCCGCAAAAAGCCCGCGAAAGGGGGGTTCGGAAATGTTGGCAGTCCTCAGATAGGGGGTGCTTTCAAAAAGAGGGAACGAGCATAATGCGTACCCTAAATAACACTGAGTGGGGGGGGGGGGGGGGCCGGGGTTATGACCCACCCCAAACTTTGCATCCTTTATGACCAATTGTTATTCTTTTAAATTTCCCTGACTTGAGATGGCTCCTATAGCTTCCCACAAACTCCATGGTATATAGGTTGCAATAAGCCAGTTCACAGATACAATCTGCGCATGGGCAGATGAAGGTCATTAATTTTGTACCAAAATGGTACAACCCACAGAGATGAATACTGGATATGCGCTCATGAAAGTTATGTAACATTATTCATTTATGCACCAACGGTACATTGACATTCTATGATACGCAGGTGGAAGTATTCTTTCAAGAGGTCAAACAAAAGGTATTCATGAAGCAATTTAGGACTTTGGCAGTTATTATTCCAAGATGCTCAAAGTTGAACTTCTCCATGTGTAAAAGATCTGTGGATATTTGGGGTCATTGTACGATGTGCTATCTGTAAACTCCCTTATATAACGAAACGCCCAAACGCCGTCCAATCACCTCTCCATCCACACCCCGCCAAAATTCATTCTCCCTTCATTCTCAGCTAGGACCCATCCCAAACTTGCATGCCCAATTTTCATTCTTTTTAAATGTTCCGCCTGACCCGAGGACCGCTATTCATAAAGCAGAACTTCCCCATATGGAAAACTTACGCGCATCTGCTCTGCGCCTCGTCGCTTATCCTGTTAAGCACGGGGAACGTACACCAAAAAAGCCATGTTTTGATATAATTGCTGGTATTACGGGAAAATGGAATTTTTTAAAAAAAATCTTCGGACGGTTTCTTATAATTTGAAATGTCGTCTTAAAAATGATACTAAATTTGGGATTATTCTTTCAGGGGAAACGGTTGCACTTTTCCCCTAAAAGTTTTGACTTTTTCAGCCTGCCTATGGAGATTGCACTGTTTTTCCCCCTTTTTGTCGGGTTTCGCTCAGTCAACCAGTCGGCAAATCTTACACGAGTGACGTATAAAAAATCTTCGGACGGATTCAGAAACCTTGACATCCCACCTTTACGTTGGTATAACGATTGTTTTCATTTGTGGAGGGGAAACGGTGGCACTTTTCCAACAAATAAAAGGTAGCTTTTCATAGTAAACCAAGGTGACTGGGATAGTGTAGCGCTATAGCTACTCACAACGAGTGCGCCCGTACCGTACAAACAATGCACAGTTATAGCTTCCGTGCAATCGCTGTAGAGGTCAGTGTGTGTATTTAACGCAGTGCGTACAGAGTGTGTGCGTTGCGCTCAAAATCTCGGAGACCGCAGTACGCGCATCATGTCTATACATGCGCACCCGAATGGGTCATTGCACTCCAACTAGAGGGAAGTCAGTATAATCATTGGCGAAGGGAATGAGTTCGATTTCGTCTACGGTGTAATGGCAAGCCTCTGCATGGTGTAGTCTACCGTAATTTTGCATTTATTTAACTATAGGTGAGTTTCATTTCTAATTCTAGTTTGTTAGTGTTAGTAAGTAGTCAACGAGAGCAAGCGCTCGCACCCCTGCTTTGTCGCATTGAACTAGTCCGATCAGTGTACTTTCACGCAAGAGTGCACTTGAGCGCGCTCTCTTCGTTAAAGCGGTTGTTTAGTGCTGTATTCTTTTATGCGCGTTTAGGGCTAAAAGTTTTCCATATGGTCTTGAAGGACCGCTATTCAACGAAAATTGGGTCACTATAGGCTATTCATAAAGGCATACATTATAAGGACGGTTATTTGAGGGTCGCTATTTATCCCGCTATTTATAATTCACATTGTGGGTCATTACTCATCGGGATTCAGGACCCGTATTCATAATATGGAATGAGGGTCGCTATATTCATAATACCGATCATGAATAGCGACCCTCTTCTTTGGTTATGAATAGCGGTCCTTACGAATAGCGAGCAGACCCAGATTGCGACCTGAGAATGGCTCCTTCCCACACACTCCCTGGTAGTTAGCAACAGGCATGTACGAAGGCAGGGTGATTGAGAGGGGAGGGGGGTGGGGGCAAAACCCCGATTGTCCTATTTCAGAAGGCAAAAAAAGAAATGAGTTGTTACTAGCCACCCCCACCCCCCCCCCCCTCCCACTGAACGAAATATCGGTCGACGCGATTTTCCCATTTTCGGGAGCAAAACAAAAATGAATGCATCCGATCAAGACGATCACAAAGACTTTCGAAAAATCAACGCAGGGCAATTTCAATACCATATTTTCCCATATAAATCTAGTGTTCTATTTTTTTTCAGGTGAGGGTTTGATGGGCATTACCTTACTAGATTGTATTAGTCAAAGGTGGCATTTTGTTCCGATTACGATTTTATCATCTGTTGTTACTTAACTGTTACTGTATAGAGGCGGTAACTGAAAAAGGGGTTAAGAAAAATAACCCCCCCCCCCCCAAAAAAAAAAAAAAAAAAAAAAAGGGAAGAACATTATGGAGAGAGGAAAAGAGGGAGCATGAAAAAAGAAAAAAAGAAAGAAAAAAGAAAGTAAGATAGAGGGCTCCAAAGGAAAAGAAAGAACTATTATGAGGACAAAGAGAATCTGTTATGGGATTAAAAGGAAGCTGTCCCGACAGCTATGCTAAATAATAAATAAATAAAAATAAGTAAAAAAAAATATAACAGTGTAAATTGGGGTTCTACGACAATCACCCCCGGCAAATTACTACCCGAGGACAATAACACCCCGAAAATTACCCCCTAATATTACGCCCCCCTCCCAAGGACATTTACACCCGGAAAATTACCGACCCCCTCTCCCCGGTGGAAAATTACCCCCCGACAAAAATTGAAACAAAATTAATACCAGTGAACTTCCCTATGAACAGGGTTTTTTTTCGGGGGAAGGGGGTAATTGTCCTCTTGGGGGGGGGGGGGGGGGGTAATTGCCATGCAGTTCTTTTCCGTAGGTATTATCCTCGGGGGTGGGGGTGGTTGTCCTTGGGGGTAGCTTTCCTGTGGGTACCTTTTTTTTAGTAATTTTGCGGGGGCTGATTGTTCAGGGGGTAATTTTCTTGATACGGTAAATTGGAATCTGGGGGGGGGGGGGGGGGGGAGGGGAGGGGGCATAGACTTTACCCATACCAAATTACATTTTAGCGCCTGCGGATGGAGAGCCAGCCCATGTGCGACCCCACCCTTTGGTTAAATTACAAGGAAATTTGGTTCAATCTCTGGGGCTATTTTCACCATTCTATCATTATAATACTCTTCAAGGCAACGAAAATGAAAGTTCCAATTAAAAATAGAAGAGGTAGTACACTAGATATCGTATTGATATCTTGTACAGAAAATCCCCCTTACCATTATTTTGCCTCTGCCATTATCTATCCACTGATTGGTCGATATAATACAATGTATCTATGTATTTTGTATTTTAAGATTTGAAAAAAGTATTTTTGGAACATAAAAGATGAAAAAAATCCTTTTAAAATTATATTTAATCATTTTTTATACAGTAAGATGATTATACATTCGGTTTAATTAGAAAATTGGGATTTATTACTAAGAAAAGCTTCTTTCATTTGGCCAATCATCATCCTTTTCTCATTGGAATGGAACTTTGCACGACGTGCATGACGTCATCGTGAGGCCGGCATTTTGGAAGTGACTGCGATTGCCGGTATTATTTCTCTCCTACTCGAACGGGAACTACCGTTATAAACAGTGAAAATGTCGAACTTATCCATTGAAGATACGGCGATGGCGAGCAGGCTGAAGAGTTTCAAGAATAAGGGAAGAGATCAAGAGGTATGTATTAATTTTTGAGGTAGTTTTATCCTGTTATTTTGGTTTCGTGAAAGAAATGTCATTCAGAAAATTATCGTCATTAAAGTTGACAATAATGTGTGTAGCCAATGTAGCCAGCGCGCGTTGTTGCTGCGTGTTGATGGCATGCGATATACGCAGAGATCATCGAATGAATGAATATGAATGATAGTTTGGAAATTTCTTAGATTAAATTGCTTGATATGAATGATAAGTGTAGTCTATGGTAGCGTTTTTTTTCACCCTTCTTTTAGCCACGGCACCCTTTTCTAACTTTATAGATAAAGAATTAGACTGTGTGTCACCCCCCAAATTAGGCGCAATTCCAAATTCATTTCAATTTTCATTTCATCACACTCACAGAAGATTCATTTTGGACCACACTGACACTTGTGACATTGTCAAGACTCAAGTGCCAAATGTATGATGGGGTTGTCTGAATGCTGAACAAAAATAAAGCCTTTGCTTTTGTCTTTGGACTTAACAAAATGTATCACTGTAATTTGTAGAGTAGAGTCTCCGGTTTGCGGCATCGCCCGGTTTGCGGCCAGGGGTATTTGTAGGGTGTCTGAACGATTTTTCAATTTTCAATTTGGGATCGTTTTTCACCATTTTTGTTTGATATTTGAATTAAAAATGTAATCAGAATAATACATTTCAAATTTCAAGTCTCGCCGATGTTTCTATCAAAAGATACAGCCCCTTCAAAACGCTGAAATATTCATACCATTTTGCTCAGAATCGACGAAAAAGACGTACACGCAGAGTTATGTTGTTTTGCTAAATTTAGCCAAACAGCTGTATCGCGCGATATGCAAGCGTATGCATATCGTACGCAAGTTGCTCAGCCAATGCGCGACTTGCAAGCTTGAGCCACGCTGTCTCCGCGATATGTGCCATTGACTAGTATGGGTGGCCGTTCCCGCCTAGTATTTGTTTTAAAAATAAAATGAATATGACTCGATAATAATCATTGAAACCTACCGCGGATTCCACGGTAAGTTCTGCTTTGCTGAAAACGTCCGTAGCAGGTGCTCCTGTCGGTACGGAGTATCCGTCAGCGATGTCGGAAATCTACGGCACCAGTCGCCGATGAAAATTCCAGCAGGTGCTAACTTTTAAGTTAAGAGTAGGGTGTCTGATCGCGCACCCAATGTTGTGTGCTAAAACCCTTCCCATAGAGATTGTACGCTTCCCTATGTGGTCTACGTGCATTGCGCGACCATCCAAAATTGGTCAATGATTTTATGAAAAAATTTGAAATTCAAACCTTTATAACAAATGATCCTGAAGGTGAAACTCAATAAATGAGGTGTCATATGAAAGAGCAGGTTTTTCTCCATATTCTCCATCGGGGGCCACCCCCAGAATTCTAAAAATAACTTGGTCAAAACAGCGATTGAAATGTTGTTTGCATCCTAGCTCCAAAATTTGCCACTTTCCTGAGCTGCCGCCCCGCGGCTTAAGCAGGGCTAGACGTAAGGATAATATCCAGATGCTTTTTTTTTCGCTAGCCCCAAGGGATCATTTGTTATAACAGTTTGAAAATACCCTTCCCACATTTTTGGAATCAGCTAATTAGGGAGGCGTGAGCTCCGCTCAGTCCAAACCATGGTTACATCGCGTAACATGTGCGCTTATAGTGAATGAAAGTATGGGTGGCCGTTCCCGCCATAGAACCCGGAAGTGAATACACGTTGTAGTCAATGGCAATATCGCGGAGAGTTGTCTCCGCGATATTGCCCTTGACTACAACGTGTATTCACTTCCGGGTTCTATGGCGGGAACGGCCACCCATACTAGTCAATGGCACATATCGCGGAGACAGCGTGGCTCAAGCTTGCAAGTCGCGCATTGGCTGAGCAACTTGCGTACGATATGCATACGCTTGCATATCGCGCGATACAGCTGTTTGGCTAAATTTAGCAAAACAACATAACTCTGCGTGTACGTCTTTTTCGTTGATTCTGAGCAAAATGCTATGAATATTTCAGCGTTTTGAAGGGGCTGTATCTTTTGATAGAAACATCGGCGAGACTTGAAATTTGAAATGTATTATTCTGATTACATTTTTGATTCAAATATCAAACAAAAATGGTGAAAAACGATCCCAAATTGAAAATTGAAAAATCGTTCAGACACCCTATTAAGAGATCGAGGCATGACTAGATCAATATTTGAGCTCTATTTGTCCGATATTTGTCCAATTGGAGGTGAAATTTGATGTTTTTGTGGAAGTATGATGGCTGTGGTCTGTCTCCTATCGCAGATATTTTGATTGTGCCACCGCATGGCCAGTTGCATGGGGTGGCCGCAAACCGGCACGTAATTACGTGTTTTTTCTGGTTTGCGGCGGGGGGTGTTAATACACACATAACATGCGGGATCGTGTATGATGGTATGTGTGCTGATGTGTGTACCCCCTATGACCCGATAGTTTCTAGTAGTACTTACCCCCGGATGGGATGATCCATTCGAGGAAAAGGTGAAATTGTTTAAAACTTGACAAATTTACCGTAGCAACAGATAAACATGAGAATTTGGGTTACCCGTAGTAATTTGGTACATGCTTTCATCGTGACGTAGCGCATAAAGCTTTGTGACGTACGCGTGCCGCAAACCGGTAATGCGTGCCCGCAAACCGGGGAACTCGAAGCATTTCGAAACGTGGTCAATGCTGACCACGCTGTGGGTCAGTTAGGTTATTTGTGACTTCTATTTAATAAGTAAGTATATGGACTCTTTATTGAGGGTATTGAAGTATTCTGTGAGTATTCCAATAAAAATAGAATCGGCAGTTCCCGCCAATCGGCCGCAGACCGGAGCCACTACTCTATGCAATAGTTCAGGTATAAATTAATAGAACAAAGCACCACTCGATGAAACGACCGGAAGTTTCAACAGGATCACCTCACACTTCCGTACACTCATGCTGATACTGATAGCACTAAACAGAAATATTTATCCTTCATATTTCATAATATTTTCTAACATAAATTATCAAATCTTAAAAAGATAAAAAATATATTGCATGTATTTCAATTTTCAATTGTAAACTTCTTCAAATTACAGTTTAAATCAACTGTCCGGATACACAACCTGTCTGGACACAAATATGGGCACGTTTGTTTCTTTAAAAAAAATGAGCGTGTGAAGCGAGCGAGAAAAAAAGGACATTTTCAGTATGGTACACATTTTATTATGTAATCACGGCAACGAAAAAAATACACGGTGGCGACGGGCGATTCGCCCCCTAAACCTCTGAAATCGCCACGGTAAAAATCAAGACGAGGGCGAAAAAAAATCAATATATCATGAAAAATCGCCCCCGCCATAAATTGATATTCCCTATGAATTAATAAACCAATTTATTGATGTGTCCGAGTGAAATCTCCGTTCCAACTACCAACTCCAAAACTAGAAACTTCCATCAACATTTTAAAAGTTTTGTGAGTTGCAGCGGATCGGCGGTCGTACCTACTGTAGCTAGATCTACAGCGGTATCCGCCTGCCTGCGCCTAAGCTCCCGGCGGCCGGACAGGCCACCGGCCCCGATGTAGTTTCGTGCACAGCATGAATGCATACGCAGTTCGCACACGTTCACAATACACAGAAACGTACTAGCTCAGCTCCAGCGCGCGCCCGCACGCTCCTTGTATGAAGCAAATAAGTATTTGCGAGTGACGAGAGCTCAACTGCTAGCGACCAAATTGGTACGTAATATGTTTATTTAGTCTTTTTTCTGGCCCTAATTTTTATCATGGACAATGCAATCCCATTAAAAAAAAATGTTATTCCGTCTAAAATTGTGTTATTTATAAGTTAAAACCATTAAATGCGAGTATATTTTTACTGTTGTCCCACATACTGATATATTTGTAATAACGAAACTTGCAAAATCAATGCCGGATTTTTTCCTGTAAAATCGGTATAAAGCAAGTTTCGTACACAGAAATTGAATTTTGTTATAAAAAAACCGTAAATAAATATATAAAGGATGTTCCTACTCCTCAGAATCTTTCTTACAACTGTTTAACTAAATTAAATTATTTATATACGATCGATGCCAGGCCAATTGTCATGAGTGATGATGACATCAATTTCTGTCTACGAAATGAAACTAGCTTTGGCTTGGCCTTTAGAATTAGAGTCTATAAAAAAAAATAAGGCCATGATTTTGCATGTTTCGGCATAACAAATAGACCCTACATCGGTATGTGGGGCAACAGTAAAAATATTTACTCACATTTAATGGTTATAAATGGTCTAAATAACACAATTTTAAAGGGAGTTGGTCTACATTTTTTTTTAATGGGATTGCATTGTCCATGATAATTAAATTTGGGACAGAAAAAAAGACTAAATAACATATTACCTACCAATTTGGTTGCTAGTAGTATGATGGCTAAGGAAAAACACAACTTATTGTTACAGCTTACAATATGGCTTTAAGGAAGTAGCCCCTCGGTTTTTTTTAGGCAATGGGGAAAAGTAGCCCCCATAAAAAAATTAATTCCTAGCCCGCGTGTCAGTGATAATATTTTCTTAGGATATGAAAAACGAACAGTTAAACAAAACACTCCTTTTGACAAGTTTTAGTTACATGTATATGTAAATCATAAAGCCACATGTTTAACACAAAGTGAATAAATCATGGGTATCTGAATGTCTGCAATACTCTACATGACATATGTACGCTACAATTTATTGTATCTATATTTGCCTTTGCTTGGAATTTAATTAGGTAAAACCGCGTTTAAAAAAAATACAACCTTTTAACAAAAAAAGCCCCCCCCGAGCTCCAAAATAGCCACCGCAAAATAATTAAGGGGGGCTATTTTTTTAAGGGAAAATCTGAAAAGAGCCCTCGTAAAAAAAAAAGTAATTTTTTGGTTGAATCACGGTAATCTAATCACCACAGCTTAGTCACACTAATCATAAGATAAGATATAGAATAACGTAAACACCTTGCCGCAGAATATATGTTTAGGAGTCTCAAGTTTTCTGACATTTATTGTCATATTCTACACAAATTCTATTACCGTAAATCTCTGTGTATAAGACACACTTTTTTGCCGCCGAAAAAAATTCAAAGTCGGGATGTGCCTTTTACTCAGGTACAAAAAAAAAACAAATAACTAGAACACTCAAATTTGTCTGTCATCTTGGTTTGAAAGTAATCTTTCTGATAGATCTCAATATGAAGTTTATAATAATAATTCCTCCCAATTTTTCTTCTATACACACGGCGTACCACAAGGTTCTATCCTAGGTCCTCTACTGTTTTAAAATTTACATTAATGTTCTTACACATTCAACTGCACCACGCAGTTAAATGAAAGTCCTTCCCGCGTGGGTTTTTTAACACGGACCTGGCTTGCTGTCGACAGAGTCGGCCAAAAAACAACAACAACAACAACAACAAATTGGGGTGCGTCTTATACACAGAGATTTACGGTACTACCAATTACCAAATCAGCAGGAAAATTAAAGACTAAAAATGATGCAACTAGAAAAATTATTTGTCAATTGATTACGGGGATATCAGAATCTCAAAATTTGATGTGGATCGGCTTTTGGCTACAACTGAAGAAAAGTCATGAAAACAAACAAAACCTTATTTGCTCACAAGAGTTTACAAACAAGTGTATATGTCTAACAAAGCGATCCACCAAAGGTTAAAGATAAATGCTTGAATTGGAAGGCAAAGTATCATACAATCGGTTGGTTTCACTTTTTACATACAATCTCGATGACATCTTATCTCAAAATGAAGATTTCCAGACCCTTGTTAGTAAGTTCATACTTTTTTGAACAGATGCAAAATGCTGTAAAGGTTGCTTATCATTTGCTAATATTTTCATAATTTCATAGAAAATGTTTGCACTGGGTAATTCTAGGTTTCTATTTTCATGACTGGTATCAGATTTTCGAAATCTTGCTAATTTGTTTGAGATGTGCTTGAACTATGGTCACACTACCAACTACCATACATGAATTTAAAAAATCATAATATATTATGTCACCTCATGAAAACATGAGGATATTTGGGCTTCTTCTTGTTCTGACTTGTCCCATTTCTAAATGTTGCATACTTTGAAAAAATATAATTTAGATATAAAAGAATTCAGATAACTTTGGGCACCTCTCTATCATATAGAAGGACATTCAGGCACCTCCTTGCCCAAATGTACATGTACATACCGGTAATGGAGGTGGGATATCTCCCATAAAATAGACTACATGTACATGTACATGTACCTTGTACACTAAATCTTGACAAAAGATTGAAGTTGAACAAGGAATTTTTAAATTATGAAATCTTGTTGAAAGATAAACTCAAGAAGACTGAACACTACAGGATATCATCAAATTTATTAGATTAGAGAAGACAACTTGATGCCATTTACATTGTGTATGTACATATATGATGGAATGACTGAAATTTGTATACATTTTTACATGTTAACATTTTGAGGGAATTTCATACCTACAGTGTACATGTATTTCATTTCTCAGTCTGTAATTTTTTTTTAATCAAAGAGAAGGCTATGTAGGCTTTAGCAAGTACATGTATGCCTGTAAATAAGTCTTAAACTAAAGGCATGACTATGTTACCTGCTGATGGAATCAACGCTACAAGATAGATTAATTTACTCCAATTATTTGCGATCTTATCAACATCTACATGTACATGCGCTTTTAACAACTTTTAAAAGTACATGTACATGTACTTGTACGTGTACTCCTTGTAAATTTGATGTTTTTTGTGAATATCATAAACTTGAAAAATGAAAGGTGGACTACTTGAATTATGGCCTTCATTGTATTATGTAAACTTTGATATGTCACATTCTCATGAAATAAATCAGGACAAATCCATTTTTCACATACCGGTACCTAAAAAACCCAACTTGTTCAGGGTATGAAAAAAAACTATTATTATTTAGTTTGTATGTACATTTACATGTCTTTTTTTTGTAGATCAAAATTCAGTAAAATTAAGTCAATCTGGCAATATCAACAATGTTGTCTTGCAACCTACATGTATACATGTATGTCAGTGTAGATCTGGACATGTTTGTATGCAAGATTGAAAAATGTAATACATGTAAATTTGCTTAAATTTGTCATATTTCTATTGAGCTTCTTGTGCAGATTCTGCAAAGTGACCATTCATTTTTGTATGCTCGAAATAAGATGAGATTGGTTTGTAAGTTGGCAGGTAGCTACAACTACATGTAAAAATAAAGATCTTTAAATACAATTGAAAAACTGATAACAAGCAAAGTGTCCATTTACAATGTTCATGTACATGTTACATGTAGGTATCTTGTAGACACGGCCAAAAGAAATTGACTTTTACTTAAATATGAGTCATACAGTGATCTGGTTTTAGCCTTTTAGGGAAAAGGAACTTATATGTTTATTTTGACAAGGACTAGCCTGGCCTGACCCATTTTCATCAAAGGATATAGTGTGTCACTCACATTCTAATGAAGGAATTTAGTGGGATTATGATGTCCAGTAAGACTCTTGTCACAGTTCAAGTGAATCGGTACAAAGTTGCCTGATTTTTATTTCAAACATTAACCATTGCCTTTAATATCAACTTTTAAACATGTGTTAGTTCTTAACATATATGTTTCTATGGGATGACCAAGAACTTAATTCCATTTGTTTACTACTCTCTGTGAAATAGAGCTCTGCCTCAATTTAGACTTTATATGCTTCTTTTGTAGTTTGAACTGGTGATGAAAGAAATTATTTGACTGGAGGTCGTCAATTCCATGCATTATCTTATGGACCTGTAGCATGTCGATTCTATTAAAATGATTTGATAAACTTGTTGGCATAGAAGGGGTAAGGACTAAGAATTAAGACTAATGTTGATATCAATTTTTTTTTTTTTTTTTTTCTTTCTCCAGGAGATGAGGAGACGGCGAACAGAGACCACCGTGGAGCTTAGAAAGAACAAGAGAGAGGAAACCGTTCTAAAGAGGAGAAATGTACCCAACCTTGAAAGCACAGACTCAGAAGAAGAGTCACCTCTTGTAAGTAATAGTTACACTTCTTGAATGTCATACCAAGATTTCTCGTCTATGCAGAATTCAGTACACTCCATCTTCTTTGAATGACTGTTTGCTTTTGTGTTCCTGGGAGAAAAGGACTACTGGTCGAAGTGATTAATTAAAAAAAAATATTACCTTGTACTGTATACATGTACATGTATGTGTACACTAAGTGCTATTTGCCATGTAAAACAATTATAGTAATGCCAGTGCTTGACACTAACCGGATAGTTGTGTGTCTCAGGCACCTACAATCTTGAATTTTTTTACAAAGGGCTTTAATATGGCTCGTGCATACGGACTGTTAAGTTAAATCTGGACCTCCTTCCCAAAGCAGTTACTGTCACCAGGGAATAATTTTCCTGGTATCGCATCGCAATTTGCTATGCATTTTTGCATGACTGCTATACAAAATATCTTTTGTGTAGCAGTTTTCTTCCATAGAAATGTACAGAATTTCATTTGAAATATTTATCCATCGGCTGAAATTGCTTCCCTGGTCACTATGAACATGACTGACAAAATATACAGTTCCTCAGGTAGACAAAGGAACATCCCTTCACTGCTATTATGTAAAAATGTGTAGAACAGGTGTCACATGCATTTTCACCTTTTTACATAATAGCAGTGAAGGGATGTTCCTTTGTCTACCTGAGGAACTGTATATTTTGTCCGCTTTCTTTGTCTGTCATGTTCATAGTGTGTGGAGTCCTGGTGAAACTACTACTCCAATATCTATAGATACTGTACCTACATTTTAAGTTAAACAGATAGGTGTACAAATTTGCCTTTAATCTATTCTACCACAATGAGAAATGGTGACGCCTGAACTAATTCAATAAAGTATGCATCTTTTAGAATGCAGAGACTTGTAGAAGTACAACTTGATTACATGTCTTCAGAAACTCATTGTGATCATCACATTGTTAAACAGGAAAGAAATATGTTAGTGAGTATATTTGGTTTAAAGAATTAGTGTACAATCTGCATATTTTTAATGTGATTGTGGCATTGAATTGTCTATTATTCAATTGTATATATATATATATATATATATATATATATATATATGTTTATTTTGAAATTTCTTATTATTTCTCCTGCAGATGAACAAATCCATATCGGAGATAGTAGTGAATGCTGCCAAGTCTCTAGAACCCAACATACAACTCGATGCAGTCCAGGCCGCTAGGAAACTCTTGTCAAGTGATCGCAACCCTCCCATAGACGGTCTAATAGAATCTGGCATTCTCCCTGTTCTAGTCGATTGTTTAGCGAGAGAAGACAAGTAAGAATAACCAAGACGTACATTAATCTTCAAGTATAATATATACCCCCCCCCCCTTGAAAAAAAATTATTACTGGAGCCTCTTTTTTAGGAGAGATTACCTTTAACTGATTTTAGTCTTTTTATTTAGGTATCCGAAGCCCTCATGTAGTTATTTTCAGCTCTAAGTTTGGTTACTGTAGTGTTTAATGGAATGCTATCATGAAATGTCCTAGACTGTGGACATACAGCTTTTTATTTGTTCATTTCCTCTGTACATATTTTATAGGTTCATCTTTTTTCCCCAAAAAACAATTTACAATGAAAGATAGAATTAGAATTGTAATGAAAATAATGGCTTCTTAACTACCAGTTACACGGTTGAAGTATTCTTCTGAAGAGGCAAACAAAAGGTATTCATGAAGCACCTCCATCACTTTGGCAGTGATTATTCTAAAATGCACAGGTGGGAAGTATCCATCGTGTCTAAGATCTGTGGATATTTTGGGGTCATGCGGTCCAGAGCTATTTACGAACTCGCTTATTCAGAGATGTATATCACCTGTCCTTTCATAAACCAAATCTTTGTTTCTTTCTTTCTTTCCGCAACCAGTCCATCGTTACAATTTGAAGCCGCCTGGGCCCTCACAAACATCGCGTCTGGAACTTCTAAACAAACGATAGCAGTGGTAGAGGCAGGAGCGGTACCTTACTTCCTTAAGCTCTTGGGCTCTCAACAACACAATGTAGCCGAGCAGGCAGTATGGGCCTTAGGAAATATAATAGGTAAGGTACTCTGGGCGTGCACGTGAGAATATTGTGGTGTATCTAGCCTCAACATGGGTCCCATGATAACAATAACCCATGCATATTATATCAAGAACAGTATTTGAGTGGTCTCGCATCTCTCGAGTATCGAAAATCAGCACATGCAAAATGAGGACTTGCTGGATTGCTCTCCATGGAATGGTGGAGGTGCATGCATAGTGCTGGCAAGTCTTGATCTACTGGGCCCCTTCTTACAAAGAGTTGCCATTGATCCACATCAATCGCAAGTCCTCCAATCAATCACAAGTTTGCAGTCTCCTATCTCTTATGTACATAGTTGCGATTGATATCAACTCTTTGTAAGACGGGGCCCTGGGAAGTGATATATCTGTAATAAACTAAAATGCATGTATTATTTGCTATTCAAAATATAATTAATGTTGCTATGCCTTTCCTCATTCCCTCTTATCCTATACCAGGTGATGGACCAAGGTGTAGAGACTATTGCATAAAGGAAGGAGTCGTGCGACCTCTGCTTAACTTCATCAATCCCACAATTCCCTTGTCCTTCCTGAGGAACGTGACGTGGGTCATAGTAAACCTGTGCAGGAATAAGGACCCCTCACCGCCTCTAGAGACTATCAGGGAGATCCTACCCGCTCTCCTTGCATTAATTCACCACTCAGACACCAATGTGAGTACAAGGCATTTGGCCAAGTTTGTGAATCTGGCAGCTGCTGGATCTGGGGAGTGTTTCACAAAGATTAAGATGGACTTTAAGTTGGACTTACTGGTTGTTCTCGCTGGTTGTTCTCGCTACTGGCCTCTGAATTATCATTTTTTTTCTTTCAATAATGAACTATCAAAAAATGAAAATTCTGTAGATTTGTGACCATGATTTATACGCCCCTTCAGAGACAAATCCCAGTAAATGGTATGAGCAAACAGTGGCATGAACGGCCTGCCATAGTTCAGTCCAACTTAAAGTCGATCTTAGTCTTTGTAAAACATCCCCAGATGTTGACATTGAGTAGAGTTTTTACCCCTGATTATGATCAACATCAAAAGTAAAGATCAAGGTTATGATAAACTGTATCCATATTCAAAGAACTTACAAAAGTAGAAAGGAAATGCTGCTTCTAAAACCACCTCGCACTAAAACAAAAGTAACACTCAGAGATGTTGCTTTCAGTTGTGTCGCTACAAAGATTTGGAATAATCTACCACTAGACATAAATTGTATTCATATTCAAAGAACTTACAAAAGTACACAGGAAATGCTGCTTCTAAAACCACCTCACACTAAAGCATAAGTAACACTCAGAGATGTTGCTTTCAGTTGTGTCGCTACAAAGATTTGGAATAATCTACCACTAGACATAAATTGTATTCATATTCAAAGAACTTACAAAAGTACACAGGAAATGCTGCTTCTAAAACCACCTCACACTAAAACAAAAGTAACACTCAGAGATGTTGCTTTCAGTTGTGTCGCTACAAAGCTTTGGAATAATCTACATGTTGACATATTAAAGAAAAGCCCCATCTGTGGAAGTCTTCAACGTTTTGTTGAAGACCCACTTGTTTTCAGAAGCCTTTGAATAGATTTTGGTTGTGTGTCCGTAAAGTAGCTTCATAAGAAGTTTTTTCTTTATAGTGCAGTAGAGAATATTTACATAGTCGCTGGGCTGTACGAATCAATCTTATCATAGCTTGCTATTTCTACATATACGCCTACCGTATTTGCCGGCGTAAAAGCCGCAGTATTTTTGGAAGAGAAAATATCAAAAAGTCGGGGTGCGGCCTTTACGACGAAAGAGTAAAAAAAAAAAAAAAAAAAAAGTCAAAACCAACGCGAATTTGCACGTATGGGACTAGAAACGGTAAAATAACAATACCACTATGGTACAGGACATTTCTTAACATCTTACCAACAATTTTATCTTGCATTGTTGACATGAAGATGAAAATAAACATCCTAACGCAACATTTGCCGATAGATCTTGATCTAAGTTCGTGCCAATGCATTGCAAAAGTAAAGGAAGGGACAGTCTAACTGAGCTGCCGCGAATATCCATCCGAAGTCGCCATTTTGTTTTTCCATTTCATGCAGTTTCGCATTACACCGTACATTGTGGTAGGGGTATATCGGACACCAAATCTGCCTGCGATCACTTTTTTAGCTTAACTTCCGGTAAATTATAAGAATATGGATGAATTTGGTATCAGTTTGTAAAAAAAAAAAATAGTGTTTTCGAGAAAATTATGATTATTTTGTTTTGTCCGTTTGTTTTTGTTTTCCTTTTTTTTTTTTTTTTTCCCCCTCTTTGAAATGTCAAAGTTGGGTTGCGGCCTATGCGGCGGTGCGGCCTTATCGCCGGCAAATACGGTACTTAGATTACAACACCTGTGTAAAAACTTTAAGACTGGATTGAGGCATGAAATATAACTGTATGATAATAATAATAATAATAGCTAGTTCTTATATAGCGCTTTTCAGGACCGAAGGCCCTCTCAAAGCGCTTTACAGATATATATATTATTACCCCGGTCATAGGATTCAGGCTTACCCGCACACAATGTATGCACATTCTCCACTCCCTTGGGAGCATTCCAGCCAGGCGTCTTTTTTACAAGCGCACACGTGCTAATCTGAGCACATTAGCTTTCGCATCCTACCGGGTACCCATTTACACCTGGGTGGAGAGTGGCAAATGTAGATCAATGTCTTGCCAAAGGACATTAGTGCTGCGATGTAGTTTGACTCCTTCTAATGACATTATGTACAATAATGCTGTGCCCAAATTGATATTGTTGGAATAAATTGAATCAAATGTTAATGAGCATGGTTATACAGCCAAGATCCTGTATTATATTTGATAGGTTAGGTTGGATAGTTAATGAACTGTTTTATTATTTGCTTTCTCTTCCTCATGTTTTTTATGTTGTTATCCTTCCTTACTTATAAGTACTTCCTTAAGTTCTCAAAATTGATCCAATCTCGAGTCTCACTTCCCATCAGTCTCGATGATCAAAATGGTGTATCACGGTCTTTACGTCTTTTTGCATCTTTCATCCAAACACAGATACTAGTAGATACAGTGTGGGCGCTATCATACCTGACAGATGGAGGTAACACACAAATTCAGATGGTCATAGATTCAGGAATTGTCCCTACACTGGTTCCATTATTAAGCAGTAAAGAAGTTAAAGTTCAGGTAAGTGTCTGGGGCTGAATTTAATTTAGTACATGGAGTAAGTTTCGATTTCAATTTCATTTATTTCCACAGATTCATAAAAGACAATATAAATTGCAATCAAATATAAAAGCATTTAAACAAAAGATGAAACTGCAGAGGGGGTGATCAAAATCCACAGAGGTTTATCGGAAGTCACCCCTGTTTAAAATTACAATATTACTTTACTTGGCTAAGTAATATGTCTTATATCACTTTCAGATCACTTTTAAGCACTTTACTTAAAGGTATTACAAAGTTTTGGTCATTTTTGAAAATTGGCTGGATAGTGATTCTTTACAATGTTGGTATATTTGGATGCCTTTATGGATGTATTATACGCGCTAACAAAATTGGCCCCTAAAACACTTCTGCTTTCGAGAAAAATTTAATATAAAAATTTACCGGTGCTCCCGGTAAATTTTGATAAATTTCAAATAGCGCCTACGGTCATACGATGGTAGCTGCGACCATGAAAATCTCAGAATATGCAGTTGTGATATATATATTCCAATGGTAATATCAAATTGGTCGATTTTAGTCAAATAACATTGTTTTATAGCTAAATCAATATCTTGACCTTGAGAGGGCGCTATACAACATAAAGAGTTTATTATTTGCAATTTCATCACTTTAGACTCGATTTCAACCGCGACAACGATCACTGAATATTGTAGGATCGCATATGCTTCCAATATGTTAATTTGAACCAAATTTATGACCCCATACCAAAACTTTGTATTACCTTTAAGTAAGCCGACTTAAAGTTAAAATACTTACTGGCTTGCATTGTGATGTCACATTGTCAATCCGACATAATCTGCAATAAACACATTAGATGCGCGTTTAATATTTAATTGTGTGCAGATTATGATCACTGTTTATGAAAACAAATATGCCTGCTAATCAATGCCTCCAAACTAACTGGCACAAGTCTGGTAGGGTGCTGTCTTAAAGGGTAAAATAAGCCAAAAGTTTCGACTGAATACCAAAGTTGGCTAAGTACTTCATCTTAACTGAGTACTCCATGACGGAGCCAAATGATATGCATGAACTGCCTGCACTTTTAAACCAAAAACTGCCAGGTGCAAGAAACTTTCATAAAAATTCACAAGTGATCCAGATTCTGTATGTGTCATGTAAACTAAAATAAATCACAACATCTGATTTCTGAAATTCACCAAAGTTTGCTGTTGATAAAGCAGACATTTACAATTGTCAGACTCTCCTGCTGTATAATTTCTAGTTTGATTGAAGGCATCAATAAATCAATGGTACAAATATGTATTTCTATCTTCACTTTACATTACAGACAGCAGCATTAAGGGCAGTAGGCAACATAGTAACAGGTACAGACGAGCAAACACAAGTTGTTCTTGATCACCATGCTCTACAACACTTCCCAGCTCTTCTAGATCATGCCAAGGATAAGATCAACAAGGTAGGTTCATCAGGCCTAATAATTACCTGATTTAAATCAGTTTACCTATTTATTTTATTCTTCCCTATTTTTTCTTTCTTTTCTTCCCGATTTTACCCCGATTTTCCTGATTCCCCCCCCCCCCCCCCCGATTTTCTTACTCAAAAGGGAGGGAATTCTGTTAGATGCCATTTTTTTTCCCCTGAATCCTTTTTTTCTTCCTTTTACTCGAGGGGGTTTGAGGTGCTCACTATTACCCCTGGTTCATTCACATTGTAGATGGTTGTTATTGTTGGCAATTTATTTCAGAATGCAAAGTAGCCCCTTTTTTACATGTAAATGGATGTTAAAACGGGGGGATGAAAACCAGTAACTTCGCAGACACAAAAATTCCTTAACCATACCATACAGAGGTGCTGTGGTCTAGTGGATAAGTCACTCGACTGCAGATTACGAGGTACTGGGTTCAAGTCCCGCCACGGCACTAATGTCCTTTGGCAAGACATTAATCTACATTTGCCACTCTCCACCCAGGTGTGAATGGGTACCTGATATGCTTGAGCGCTAGTTACTTAGGCCGCTCGGCTACAACCAGTGAACCAGGTTATCAGTCAAAGCAGATAAAAAATGTATTATCAGAAAGTGAAGAAATGGTTTTCAATTTGTACCAATAGGGTATATGCATGATTACAAAATATGAATTATTTAAAACAAACTCTTCTAGGGAATCGTGTATCCAGAATCTTCCCCCAATATATCCTCCTACCCTGACTTACATTCTTGAAGTGATGAAACAAGGCGTTCCTGTCCAATCTTAAATGTGAATGTGTCATAATTTAATTTAATGTACTTTAATTTAAAATGTTAGGGAGTGCTGTGTGTAGGTCCAGTTTCCCTTGTGAAGGCATACAAGCGCAGGGCTGAAGCTAGCCGACAGATGCGGCTCTGCTGATAAAGGAGTGCATCTGAGACTCCCATGGCCAATTTGAAGCTATCCCTGTGCATGGCCATGGGCAGTCGATGATGATGGTAGCGATTACCCCTGACGGTATGCCTTCGTCCCCCACGGGGCAGGGCGCCTTAGCAGACCATGTGGTATTTATATGGTCTGTTCACATCTGATCAAGAATTCAGGATCTGTAGAAAGGTTGTGGAAGATCTTAACATGGTTCTTGCCATTGCATTGCAATTTTTGAGCTAATACCATGCATAGGATGCTTCAGAAACTGAAATACAAGTCTAACCCCCCCCCCTCCCACCAATTCCTATTAGGTTATAAAAAAAAGAGTAAAAACTAATGCAATACATTGTTCAGCATTAGAAAATGCTTTGGTCTACTTAAACGACAGCCTGGTATTTGGCAAGGCGATTTCACTTATTTTGGACGTAGTGTGAACAACTCTTGTTCAATTTTATTAAAATGTGAGACCGAGTCAGGATTCAGCAGGGAAAACTACCATTTCATCTTTTAGAGCTTCTTGGAGTCTGATGTGATTTTTGGTACAACACGCATTTGTGATCGACCCCAACAAGAGTTGTCTTGGTCTCCTTATTCAACAATACAAAACTGGAGGGGACTACTAAGGCATGAGATATTTATTATTGCTGTCGTTCCGATGCAGGATCCTGCATGGAACGATCGGCGCCGATTTGGTACGCGCACTTTGCCTGACTGCAGTCTCCAAATTTAATTATCAAATTGAAATCGTCGCGACGCAAGAGGACGAATTTGGTACGCGCACTTTGCCTGACTGCAGTCTCCAAATTTAATTATTAGTTTGAAATCATCGCGACGCAGGAGGACGAATTTCAGTGCGCACATGCACAGCAATCATAAAAGGATGCGCTAGCTGAAGACACAGCGCGGCCGCTACGTACTCTCAGCTTAGCTAGCCACGTTGGCTATCTCCGCGCATGGTATAGGCGCAAGCCAAATGGAGTGAGCGAGCTAGAGCGTTGGAATTGCAGAGCAATGTGATTGAGATTATTCCTGATTAGTTTTTATTACAAGCTATAGATCGATGGGTTTTACAATAGTGAAGTTTGTTTGCTAACAATTTAATTTCAAGCTATAGATCTAAGTATGCAAAATATAAATTGCTTGGGTTTTATCAACACATTCCATGATAAATCTAACCTCAATTCTGTCCACGACCTCGTGTAAAAAAGACGTATCGACACGTAAATCTTGACCCATTAAAATCTAAACCTTTTGTTTATGTTTGGCTGAGAGGTATATTGCGCAATTCTGAACTGGAGTTCTATTTTGAGATTTGAATGCGAGGAGACAAAATGCCGCCCATTTGAACCCTTGAACTTTGTTTGAACAAAGGCCCTGCGCGCAATTCCTTGGGTGTTGATAAACAAACACGAGAAAAGATGGAGACAAGAGAGAGGGAGAGGAAGGGGTACACTTGGAAGATGGAGGGAGGGAAAGAGCGAGAGAATAGATTGATGGGGAAATTAAGTCTACGAGAGTCAAAATGGGGATAGATGTGAAAATCAATTGTTAATAAAGACGATAAAGTATCAAGTTATTTATTTAATACCCATGATTCTTTTTATAAAATTCTAATCGTAATAATGCGAAACTAATCTTGTCTAGTGTTCCTATTATTTAGATAGTCATTTTGAGCTCCTCGATCTATTCGCGGTGTAGGCCTATTTTGTTGCTTGTTTGTGTGTTTGTGTGGTTGTGATGTGCCTGTTTGAATTAGGCCCTACTTGTCATGTCATGTCGGTTATTTTTTTCGAAAATTGAAACAATGATACAAAATTTTGATTATAAAATTCAGCAATTTTATTAAAAATTGTTACGATCGATATGATTGAGGAGTCTTAAGTTCGCAATGCTAAGATCACGATACCAGTCATGACTCATGATAGCGAATTATCTCAGTGGTGATTTTAGAATTAAATCCCTTTTCTGCAGTATTTTAATGAATAGTCAAATATGGATCTCTGTTTAGTGACAATAAATATTCATTAAATTATTACACAAAGAAAACGATTCGTTGTACCGTTCTCGACTATTAATGTCCACCCCCCCCCCCCCCCCTCCTCCCCTCCAGCCGCAGCGTGGGAGCTTTGACATTTCATTAAATTACTAGAGAAAGAAGACGATTCGTTGTACCGTTCTCGATTATTAATCCTTGTCTGATTTCTGTTCCCCCCCCCCCCCCTCCAGTGCGAAGCGTGGAAGCTTTATATCATTAAATTATTAGAGAAAGAACTCGATTCGTTGTACCGTTCTTGACTCTTAATCCTTGTCTGAATTCAGTCCCCCCCCCCCCCCGTCCCGTGCGGAAGCTTTGACATTTCATTACATTTTTAAAGAAGGAAGACGATTCGTAGTCCCGGCCCCCCCCCCCCACTCAGAAGTCGGAATGACCGCATGCGTGTTGCCAAAATGTCCGGTAAAGGGGTACTTTTCGTGCGACAAAGTCCGGCCCGAGAATTGTAAAAAAAAGGGGTGTATTTGACTTTTCACCCAGAGATTTCTTTAAAAAGGGGGTGTTTTTCTTTTTTTCTCTCATCTCTTTGGACTCCTGAGAAATTATTCCGAATTTAGGGGGGTAAAATGAGCATTTTTCCTGATTTAGGGGGGTCTCCAAGGCAGGAAAAGCCCGCGAAAAGCCCGCGAAAGGGGGGTTCGGAAATGTTGGCAGTCCTCAGATAGGGGGTGCTTTCAAAAATTGGGTACGAGCATATGCGTACCCTAAATAACACTGAGTGGGGGGGGGGGGGGGGGCCGGGTTCGTAGTACAGTTCTTGACTCTTAATCCTTGTCTGAATTCAGCCCCACCCCCCCCCCCCCGTCCCGTGCGGAAGCTTTGCGGTTTCATGAAATTTTTAGAGAAAGAAGACGATTCGTAGTACCGTTCTTGACTCTTCATCCTTGTCTGAATTCAGCCCCCCCCCCTCCTCCTGCGCGAAGCTTTGACGTTTCATTAAATATTACTAGAGAAAGAAGACGATTGGCGTTGTATACCGTTCTCGATTATTAATCCTTGTCTGAATTCAGTTTCCCCCCCCCCCCCTCCAGTGCGAAGCGTGGAAGCTTTGACACTTCCTTAAATTATTAGAGAAAGAAGACGATTCGTTGTACCGATCTTGACTCTTAATCCTTGTCTGAATTCAGTCCACCCCCCCCCCGTCCCGCGCGGAAGATATGACATTTCCTTCAATATTAGAGAAAGAAGACGATTTCTCGACTATTAATGCTTATCTAAATTCAGTCCCCCCCCCCCTCTCGTCCCGTGCGGAAGCTTTGACATAATCATTAAATTACTAGAGAAAGAAGACGATTTCTCGACTATTAATGCTTATCTAAATTCAGTCCCCCACTCCCCTCCAGCGCGAAGCGTGGAAGCTTTGACATTTCATTAAATTACTAGAGAAAGAAGACGATTCGTTGTACCGTTCTCGGGTGACACGACATTTGCTCCTGCGACAATTGCTCCGGGCTTTATTTCGTCTAAGATGTAGGGTTAGGGTTAGGGTTTCAATAGGGTTTTATGTTAGGTTTAGGGTTAGGTTTAGGGTAGGGTATAGTGTTGAATCCAGGGTTGAAGTTAGCCATTCGATTACTGTATGAAATTTACAGCGGAGCAATTGTCGCCGGAGCAAATGTCATGGAATCCGTTCTCGATTATTAATCCTTGTCTGAATTCAGTTCCCCCCCCCCCCTCCAGTGCGAAGCGTGGAAGCTTTGACATGTCATTAAATTATTAAAGAAAGAAGTCGATTCGTTGTACCGTTCTTGACTCTTAATCCTTGTTTGAATTTAGTCCCCCCCCCCCCCCCCCCCCCGTCCCGTGCGGAAGCTTTGACATCAATAAATTACTAGAGAAAGCAGACGATTCGTTGTACCGTTCTCGATTATTAATCCTTGTCTGAATTCAGTTCCCCCCCCCCCCCTCCAGTGCGAAGCGTGGAAGCTTTGACATGTCATTAAATTATTAGAGAAAGAAGTCGATTCGTTGTACCGTTCTTGACTCTTAATCCTTGTCTGAATTCAGCCCCCACCCCCCCCCCCCCCGTCCCATGCGTAAGCTTTGACATTTCCTTAAATTACTAGAGAAAGAAGACGATTCGTTGTACCGTTCTTGACTCTTAATCCTTGTCTGAATTCAGCCCCCCCCCCCCCAGTCCCGTGCGGAAGCTTTGACATTAATTTTCCTTAAATTAAAAGAGAAAGAAGTCGATTCATTGTACCGTTCTTGACTCTTAATCCTTGTTTGAATTTAGTCCCCCCCCCCCGTCCCGTGCGGAAGCTTTGACATCAATAAATTACTAGAGAAAGCAGACGATTCGTTGTACCGTTCTCGATTATTAATCCTTGTCTGAATTCAGTTTCCCCCCCCCCCTCCAGTGCGAAGCGTGGAAGCTCTGACATTTCATTAAATTATTAGAGTAAGAAGTTGATTCGTTGTACCGTTCTCGACTATTAATGCTTGTCTGAATGCAGTCCCTCCCCCCACTCCAGCGCGAAGCGTGGAAGCTCTGACATTTCATTACATTATTAGAGAAAGAAGAGGATTCGTTTACATTTATCGACTCTTAATACTTGTCTGAATTTAGTACCCCCCCCCCCCTCCCCCGCGCGGAAGCTTTGAAAGAATGTTTGGTTGTCCCAAGGACTATCAAAATTCAATATATATAAATTTCTTTCTTCTGTGTACCAGCCTACCAGGTTCGACATTCACTGCTGCAAATTTAAGAAAGAGAAACCAAATTTTCATGGTCTTATATTTAGGATAAAAATTAAGTCTAAATCTGAATATGTAATTGCAGCCAAATATGGCAAGTTAAGCCTCCATTTTAAAAAGTTTATATTTGAGTTGTAGTGGACTATATGATGTTTTTGTCATTTCACATTCCTGTACATGATTGTAAACAGCAAGTTGGCTTTCATGTTATGTTTGAGCACCCAATAAAAAACAAATTAAAAAAAAATTAAAAAATAATCCTTGTCTGAATTCAGTTCCCCCGCCCCCGATCGCAAAAAGTCTCCATGTTCGACAAGAATTCATGGCCTATCCAATGGCCAACAGACTCTTGGGTGTAATTCCTTGTTTATTAGATGAACTAGTTGTAGACAAAACGATAGTAATTATGAATTTGGATTTGCCAAATTGTCATCATAGCTGTGTGCTTTTAACTCGCCCCTTTGAGGTTACGTCAAAAATATAAAATTCGCATACCTGTATAAAAAGGTCATGACTTAAAATATATATTTATATGAAAGGATTCCAAAATTGCGAAAGAAAAAGAAAATGAGGTAGAACATAATATGGTGGCGACTTTTGATTGAAAATATTTCACATCAAAATCCTCCCCCCCCCCCCCCCTGGATGGCAATCTCATTGTCATAAAAGTAAGAGGGGTTACAGCATGGAGATATAAGAAGAGATCTCCATGGTTACAGTACGTGATTACATTTCCCAGACATGTTTTGACAGTTCTTATCTAAGATATATGACACGCCCCAGCCAGCTGAAACCAAGAAGTTACAGGGCTTGTATAGTCTGCCAATTCAGACTTCATACCACTTGGAATACCTCAGGAGAATAAATGACAACTGAAAACAAGCAAACATTTGCTTTCAAAAAATTAACTTGCAAATTATTATTTAGCCAATGAGAAGACCCTTTTCGAGTAGAAGACAGTTTCATTATGATTTGGATATACAGTAGCACTCCGATAAACTTTTAAAGAAATTAGTCTCAAAGCTGATTATCGATTGGCACAGGCTTGCAATTAACACCGCCCACCAACGTACGCCCAAGCAGTGTGTTGGACATTATCTGAGCACATGTTTTTTGTGTGTGTGTGTGGATATAGCGTTGGGTTCAGTTGTGATGACCTAGAAATTCTATCATAACTCGTCATGTGTGTTCGGATGTAGATTTAGTAGAAATTATTTTGTCGCGTTTATAACCAACGCACAGTTGTAGCAGGGAGGTGTTTTAGAAACTCACATACCCTGGTTGTAGCAGTCTTCTTGGTTGTAGTACAATTTATTTCACTCTGTCATTTTTATAAACAAATTACGCACAGTTGTACTTGTAGCAGTAGAAATTACTTAAACTCTGTCATGCTTATAAAAAAACGCAGAATTTGTAGTAGAAGTTATTAAACTCCGTCATGTTTATAAACAAACACACGGTCTTAATTAGAACAAATACGTTTAAACTCTGTCATGTTTAAAAACAACCAAATACCGGTAGTTGTAGTAGAAATTATTTTAACTCCATGATTAATCATGTTTATAAACAAACGCATATTTGTAGTAGAAATCATTTTTAAATGTAATGTTTATAAACAAATTACACACATGCAATTGTGGTAGAAATTATATTAACTCCGTGATGCTCATAAACAAACGCACATAATTTGTAGTAGAAGTTATTTAAACTCCGTCATGTAATATAAACAAACACACGGTCTTAGAAGAAATTATTTTAAACTCCGTCATGTTTAAAAACAACCAAACAGTTGTAGTAGAAATTATTTTAACTCCGTCATGTTTATTAACAAACGCACGATTGTACGTAGAAATTATTAGTAAATGTCATGTTTATAAACACACGCACAGCTGTGGTAGAAGTTATTTGAACTCCGACTTGTTTATAATATAGAAATGTCAATGTCAGGACACTCGATACATAATTTTGTGTCGTGCGCATGTACAGTGTACCGGCTTAAACGCTTGCCAGTGCTGCGCGTATATATATTAAATCAATTAATCCTACTGCAGTCGGACGATTATCACGCCGTCGCGTTCTGGCGCAGTGTTGTATAATATTTGTACTCCTGTCACTGATCATTGCGCCGATCGTTCTGGAGCGCGCATTGCAGGATCCTGCATCGGAACGACAGCAATAATAAATATCTCATGCCTAACTACTCATTCATCTTTGATGTAATATTGTCTTTCAGGAGGCAGTATGGTTCCTATCAAACATCACAGCAGGTTCTCAGAAGCAAGTCCAGGAGGTCATTGACGCAGGTCTCATACCCCAGATCATCAGGCACCTAGACAAGGTAGGTTTGGCCTCGAAACAGATCTTTACCCTCCCACCTCGGAGGCAGTCTGTAATTTAAAGATGAACTTGAGTTGTGGTAAAAAAAGAACATAAATTCTCACAGAATCAAACAAAACTTACACTGAATATTCAAGATTACATATAAATGTCATTTGCCAAACAATTTTCGTAGATAATGTATACTGGCTGAGTAATGAGCATAGAAAGATAAGGAAATCAAGGTTAGTAGCCCGATACCATTTATGTAGTCCCATTTACATCTTTCTGTGTACAGTGCTTGTTACTTTACCAAGACTGGGCCAAATTTATTTTGATTTTGATGACTCCAGAACCTTGCAGTACACACCAATACTTAGCGACCTGATCAACTTTTTCTGATCCATTCCGCGCCTTTTCTTTCACAATGCAATCGCATGACCAGAACTCAACTTTATCTTTAATGATGACGACATGATAAAAAACCTTCAGTGTTTTCTTGTATGGCTCCAAATCTCTAACTAAGATCCAGGGAGTGATAGGATAAGGGTTATGATGTTTCAGTCAATGGAGCAAACCATTAAAGAAATATTAATTTGATACTTATTTGAAATGTGACATTTTTGTTGTTGTTGTTGCAATTTACCCCAAACCTGAAACTAACAAATTATCTGATGTATGACAAAAGTTGACTAAAGCAGTCCAACGAATGAATGGAAATTTGACAAAAGTGGAAAAAACAACTATATTACAAAAGTTGTAGTTCAGAACACAAACTTGATAATGATATAATAGTAATAACAATACATTTATAGAGTGCGGAAACCATCCAACATTAAGTATATAATCTACTGCGCTACAAGAGCTCCTGATATGCTTAGATTTACAGTCATTTGAAAAGATGTGCTTTCAGTTTTGATTTAAAGATATTCACAGATGGTGATTTTCTGACTTTGGGGGCTGCACAAGCAAATGCAATATCTCTAAGACCATCCCTTTTAATCGTCGCCCTCCTTTGAAATTGTTTTTCACAGAGTGACTTCCAGACGCAGAAGGAGGCAGCGTGGGCGGTCAGCAACCTGACCATCAGTGGTAACAAAGACCAGGTCAGTGTGTTGGTAGAAGAAGGCGTGGTCCCACCCCTCTGTAAGCTCTTGACGGTCAAGGACCCTCAGGTTGTCCAGGTGTGCATCGACGGTATCAACAACATCCTCAAGCTGGCGGGAGAGAACTACCATGACATCGCTGTCAGCATTGAGATGTGTGGAGGTAAGTTACACTGCCTTTCATTGTGTGCTTGATATAGCGATAATGTTCGGTGTTTAAATTGTGCACTTCACGTTAGGATGTAATGTCCCTGTACGCTTCCTTAAGTGCTGAAAAAAACGGTACCTTGTCTTTAGCTCTGATATTTCATGAAGGCATTTGTGTGTTAGATAAAGTCTGCGCAGATGGACACAAATGGATGCAGGGCAGCTGAAGTACATTTCAAGAAAATCACAATTCAAAGCTTTGACCAATCTTTGACTTGATGTGTGCCACAACTTTTAGCATATAGATTTTCAAAATTGTTGGCATTGATATTCCTACTTCAGCAAACAATAACAGATTATAGATTAGACTGATATTTGTAAGGCACACAAATTCTTTGCCTGTTCAGAGCTGATCATCCCTTCCATAACTTCTTTGTACAGGTTTGGACAAGATTGAGTTACTGCAGAACAGTGACATTGAAGAGATCTACAAGCTAGCCTATGAGATCATCGACCAATACTTCTCTGAGGTAAGATTATGTGTAACGGGTCTTCTGAAACCTGGACAAAATTAAAGTTGGCTGAATCATTATTTTATTCTCTCAGGCCATTACATGATATTCATGGCTGACATTTTTATGCCTCCGCTACAAAGTAGCCAGAGGCATTGTTTTTTCTGGTTGTCCATCCGTCTGTACGTCCCGTTCTCGTGATCACGTTATCTCAAGAACCGATTGATGGATTACTATCAAACTCAGGACATGTATGTATCTTGCAGAGCCAATGAATGGATTAGATTTTAGGGTCATGAGGTCAAAGATCAAAGGGTCATACATGTTTATTCTCTATCACTTACAGATTGATGAAGAAGATGCTGCCCTTGCGCCCCAAGCCAATCAAGATGGATTCCAGTTTGATACCAATACCAACATCCAAACAGACGGCTTCCAGTTTTAAGCCCTCCCCCCCTACCTACCCAACCAACCACCCACCACACGTAGTCTACCTGACCCTCACGTTCGCCGATCTGATAAAAATCATCGCAATTCTTCCTCATACGACTGGGAGACGTGATGCTTGGATTCATGTAACTATATAGCAAACAGATGGTGTAGCAAGACTAGTGAAATGCGGTAGTTTGGATAGTCATACCATGAAGAATCCGGGTGGGCATTGAATGCCCCAAGACGCAAACATATGGATGGCGAAGTTCCCCGTCATGAGAATGTTACTTAAGCCTGTAGCGGGGAGAGATTTGTTTCTTACACTCGGCATTCACTTCAACATCAGGATATATTTAACAAGGGCAGTGAGCTACTCAATGGCTATATATATTTATCTGTTTTCAATGCATACGATCTGCAAGGCTGTCGTTCCCAGTGCACTTCAAAAGCCACCAGGACGTTGTAATACTCGACCAACCAGATAACCAACACACACCGGTGAAACAGACTGGGAATATTGTTAATGCTACACCGACTATTTTAAACGAGGAACCACGCAAGGAAGAATGTTCTTGGTGCGATCCCTACCACATCTTGGAGACCAGTTTGTTTTGGAATAGTTTATCGTGTGCCTTCGTGAAGTGGATGTGCATTCTATAAGGCTTTTTTGTGTGTGTTCATCTGGTTTGATGTGACGCATGTGTTGCACAGTTGACGATGCCGTCTAATTAATTACCAGGGCTCGTCGTTGGTGTAATACAGCTACAGTCCTCATCTCATTAGTATATTGGGTTGGTGGATGGACAGTTTACTTATTTACTTATTTGCTGCCATGTCGTGACCTGTATAATCAGGTACTTTTTTAAATATCTCTCTCTCTCTCTTCCTGGTTTTTAAGAGACCGTTCATAAGCTGTTGAACATTTTTGAGGGAAAGAAGGAAAAAATCTGCTTTGTCTTTGCCAGAAAAAGCAGCCATGTCCATGCGCTGATTCTGTATATACTTGTTAATGTTGCAAGCGAACATATTTTATTAATTGCTTTTTGATGAAGAAAAATTGAAAATGAAAATTGTCAAGGGCAGATAAAGAACCAAGTACCTCTTAAAATATCCAGTACAAAAAGTTGCATACAAAAGAAGAAGAAAAAAAGTGCCAACTGAAATAATGATACAGACAATTAAAATAATTAGATGTATATCTCCATGTCACATTGATTTGCATTCATTTGTGTTCTTTTACATTTTCCATGTGCTTAGTCCTTTTTTAACAGCAAATCTTTAAATTTATCCTATTTATTACAATTTTGTGAGTTGATATTTCTTTCTTTTGGTACTGATCGCTTTTTGATTGTTGTATTTTTCAAAACTTTTCGAAACCTCCACCAGTCAGTGAGGACGTCTACGATGCAAGTTTGATAAAATCTTTCAAGAAAATGCAATAGAAGCCGTGTATAAGGCTCATGTGTGATTACGTAAACATTTTTTGACATGTAAGAAGAAATAAAAATGATATTTAAACATGTTACGATTCAAAGAAAATCATTTTTGTTATTTGAAAGTATTGTACTAATTTTTTTGGACAGAAATATCGTATTTCAAGATGTGACAATTTTAAACGACTGCTCGTTTTATTTACTTTCTGCTGGACAGAGTAATTGATCAAAAAAAAGAAAAAAATTGAAAACTTTTGTTGTTATAATAACTTTTGATTTCTTAGCCCTTGCCAACTTACTACTTTAAATTTATTGGCAAATCTATGGGACAACAATTTTTTTTTACGTGTTGCATTTTTGTAATTTGAGAACCAGTTGGTTTATTTCTAATATTTTTTCACTCTTGCTTTTTTGCGTGCTGAATTGAACGAAGATGCAGAACTCTGTAACGTGATTGATATATAATACTGTACATATGTACAAAGAGAAGATGGCTACAGAAAGTAGGCCTACATACATAGCACAGACAGTTTAGCTTCTTGACACATTTTTTAGAATATGCTTATCACATTTACATGTATAAAGTTACTTTTCTCTCGGGTTTCTCATTACCTATATGGAGATAATGTTTTCTTTGGGGAAACAGGATTATCGGTAGAAAATCTGTTAATGTGGGCGCTCTCAATCGATGTGGAGACGTATTTTATGAGTTGATATTTGATTATAGGTAGTTAATTTTAGTTTAAATGAATTTGAGCAAATATAAAAACATTTCTACCTTGTGTAATATTTGTCAGTTATCCACGTGATAATTTTCAACAGAGTTTGATGTGCACAGCAGGAATAGCTATCGTATAATGATGAAAAAGGAAGAAAAGTGAGAACGTATGTATTCAAAGAATAATTCACATTCACATCTAATTGCATCATTTACCATTTAGAAATCGTTGACAGTTCGCCCCTCCTTGATTGTGTGTTAATGAGCATGTTAATCGCTTAGGATATTGTGCTGTGTTGTTATTTACACATTATACAAAGATATAGCAAGTATAGTACAAGAGAATGGTACATATAGGATATTTATGCAGGATGAATAGTTAATACATAGTATTACATACCATAGGCAGGCTCCACACAAGTTTTTTTTGGAAGGGGTTACAGTTTTAACTTATTGCAGTCTGTATGTATGAGCCCGACAACTTTTTTTGATGGTCCAGACTTGGAGTTTATGGGTCCATGTGTCTCCCGGGCGCCTGTCGAGCTTTGCCGTAGGGTATTTTCTCATATTTTTTTCTGGTTTGTACTTCAGTGTAATCATTCAGTGTGAATATATAAAATGTACGGAAAATATCTACAAGGGCACTATACAGAGGTATGAAACAGTTGCAGTCTTTGTAGTATGTGGAGATGTATTTGGGACGTTTAGATGAATAAGCATTTAGGCAGAAATGAGCCAATGTTGCAATTTTGCTGTTAATCTTCTCATATACTCTTTTTGTGTTTAGGGGGGCTCCATGGACATTCTATTTTGTTTTTTCCGCTGCTCCAATTTTAAATACCGGTATTGTTTTGCTACAAGTATTTTTAGCACATGGCTTATAGTACAGGAGTGAATGTTATTACATGTTCCATGATGTATGGAGTTTTTTTTTGTGCAGGATGAATCCCATAGAAAACATTGTTTTGTTAGAAGCAACGTTTTACCCTGTGAACTTGTATCAAAATGTGAATTTCTTGGTAAACATGTGGGAGACGCACATTTATGTTTCAAATTTTGTTGCTATCATATTTGTTATAGATGTTTCATAGTTTCATGATAAATGCTAACTGTATATTATGGTATAAAACTGCGGCTTTTATAAAGCAGAATGCATGTTCGTTACACAGACATTTACACAGACAGCTTAAAAGGTTTAGTTATGTAAATTTTGGATATTTCCCCACCTTAAGTAGCTATTGTTAATCTGTAAGTAAATTGCATTTAACCTAGTCAGTACGATGTGATACATTTATGACACATTTATGTTATGACATGTACCCAAGTGTTTGCATGTTATTAGTATATCATAATGTAACTAGAAGCAAATGAATTTTGTAGTACTTTGTTGTCTTAAAAACAACATTAACACCAATGCATTGTACATGACACCCTACTCGCATTTTGTACATGTGCATTTCGTAGAATGCTCACTTTCTTTCTTCTAGGTAAGTTTGTATTTCTTTTTCTTTACGATAGGTTTGCTGTCAAATTGTATATATTTGCAAAGTTTTCGAGTATAAAATATGTGGAGGTTCTGAATAGTATGAAGATATACACTAATTGGAAGGATGAAGTTACTCCCTCTCCAGTAATTATTGGAACCTGAAGTATGTGAAATAATTTTGCTTGTACAGAAAGCGACACTGTTCCTGTTTTTCAACAACATAAAAGTCGCCTGTGTTTGTAGCTTAATGTATGCTAAGTTGGTGTGTTTCACTTTTAAAGAATTGTTTGTTTTCATTTTGGAGATATGTTTTTTCTTTTATTTTGTTGTTGACATTACAGAAATGAATTGAAGATTTTTTTTTAGACCAAAGAATTCAAGAAATGTGGAATTAAGTGACAAAAAATAAAAAAGGGGTCACGTGTGAGCAATTATATTAATGCTATTGAAGAAAAAAAGCAAGTACAGAAACCGCTTATGAAAAAGTGCATGTTCTTGTTGTACGCATATTATGTCAATATTACTCTTTTGTTTTTCCAGAAGTTGTTTTGATAGTAAAAAAAATTAAATAAATGAAAAAAATACATTTTCTTTAGCTCATTGTTCATATTGCCTATTCAATATTTTAGCAAGTTGTCATTTCATTATGTACGGTCTTAGTCCCATGCATTAGAAAAACTGTAAAACTTAAGAATGATGCATTAAATTGAAATTTGCAAATGTTATATATAGCATTTTTTTTTTTACAAAGACTTTTTGATAGATTCTATTTAGCTATTGACATTATTTATTTTTATTAAGCTCTTGGAAAAGTGTTGTATTGAAACATTGCTTGTGTTTTATTCATGTTGGGACCTAAACTGCATCATAATGAAATGACCTCTTCCTCTGGTTTGTTTATATGACTAGATTGTTAGATTTGCATTATTATGTATATGCTTTTATGCTTAGAAGATTTGGATTGTCTGAATGTTATCAAATAATTCTGCATTTCCTTTTTTATTGTTATTATTTGATACGATTTGTGAGTCATTTAATCTATGAATGCAAACTTTTTAAAACTTTGAAGTTAACCTCCATGCACATTGTGGAATGGTGAAGTTCTTATTTGCCTAACGAATACCAAACGAATATTCAGATGAAAAGGTGTGCTGTCTGTTGTCTAGATAAATGCTTTTATTTGTATTTAAGAGATGAAAAATTGTTTTAGAAAATACTGAAAATAATATGAGATGCCTTTTTGACGTTTAGGCAAAATGTGATGAATTCAAGGAAAGAAATACGGTTAAGAAGCTGCACCTGTAAATAATGCTCGCAGTCGGAATCTCGTTACGTCTCGGTAGCGCAATTCAGTGCTTCGGTGGTGCGGTTTATGAAAAAACAAATCTAATACTTTGAATGTTCTTCCAAACAAAATGTACTGTTAACAAACGAAAGAATGATACAAAAGATTAAAGGTGACAACCTTGCTATGACGTATTGCAATATAGTTGATCATACATGGTACTTGTTCATGTTTTATAAAATGATATGAGAAGAAAACCTATATATTGTGCGTACTTTCTCTGAACTTTTAGTCACATTAGGGTACTTGTTAGTCAGATTTCTTTTGTTTAGTCTGTACCATATCTGTAATTATACTGTAAGCTGCGTACTCACTTATCTGTTGTATGAAGGGGAAGAAAAAAGAAAAATGGCGGCTTTATCATAGTCAGCTTAACAATTGCTCTTAAATGAGAGAAAAATGTGAAAAATACAAACTAATATGTAAAATATTGAGATTTCATGTGTCGACTTGCTTTGAGGAATTTTTTGTATTTACTAGTTATGTAAGAAAAATCCCCCAAAAAGGCAATTTTTGTGAGGTAAAAAACTTTCCAATTTGAAGATATTTAAAACATTTAAATGAAATGCATATTATTATTGTTATTATTATCACTATGTGTACCTGAAGTGTAAGATTATTCCATTGTATTTGGCCAGAAGAATGGAGTAATCTTGCAGAGAAAACAAGAAATAAAATATTGAGCCTTTCTGGAGATATGGACTTTGTTATTACTTTGATGTGAAATGTTTGCATGGGTGCAGATTGATACATGTACTAAAGAGATGACCTTAATGGGTAAGAGAAGGGGAGAGGGAGAAAAAAGAGGAAGGAAGAGAGAGAGAGAGAAGGGGGAAGGGCGGGGAAGAAGAAGAATAAGACTTAGGAAAAAAATAAACGACAGAGCCGTACCACCCAAAAAAAGAGAGACTTCTAGGGAGAGAGAGAGAACGAAGGGTGGGCTGGGATTGGAATAAATTTTTCTTAAAGTTTGGGAAAGATTGAGGAAGTCATTGAAATACACACAGATGGTAAAAGATACAAGGCATTAAAAAAAGTTCTTTCTAATCAGCGATAAAAAATCTCTTTCTTGGCATGCTTAGAAATTATCCCCTACCCCACCCCCATGTTCCCCCGACACACTCCAGACACAACTTTATCCAATTAGCCAATCACAATAGTAACCATTGTCACCCTAACTCTTACCAAATTCAACTATCGATTTCGCTAATAAAGGAAAACGTCTTAAAGGATAACGAGTTCTATTTCATTTATTCTCAAATAGTTACCACTGAGGACCCATCTCCATGATCAGAAATTCTTCTTCATGATATTTCGCTGATATTAGTTGATTTAAAGGGATCACTAGCAATGGCGTATCCAAAATTGATAAACGGGGGGTGGGGGGGGGGGCGGAATCATCTACTGAGGTTAGAGTGTGTCTAGACAGCATTACGTGTCCTGAACCCGACTAAAAACTGTTCTTTCCCCCTAGGAAATCAAATGGGGGAGGGGTTAGCATAAGTCTCCACCCGTTACTGGATGTTCAAAGGGCGTCGGGGGGGGGGGGGAGGCACGTGCCCCTACGCCCCCTTCTGGATCCGCCATTGTTATCGGTTTAATGTGACCAGTCCCTTTTAAGATCTTGATCCAAAATAAGAACAGAACATGATCGATTCCCTTTGGGTGGGATAGTATCACAATGGATCAAGGTTGCGATCGATCTCAGACGTTTCTAAAACATCCTTTCTCCGAGAATCCCTTGAATCATTTAAGCTAATAACACACGAGGTTTCATAAAGAAAATTCGATACGCTGACACCTGTAGTTTTCTTTGTAAGCGCTCTGTATACTATTCTTACAGAGCAACATTCTGTGTTCGAGACGGAGTTACGTTTGTAGGTTGTCTATGTAAAGGAGAATGGGTATTAGGCACCATTGTTGAATTGATTTTTCCCCCTATTTCTAAAAGGCCCTGAGGAGAAATCTTTAACAGCAACATTATGTCTTCGAGCCACAGTTACGTATATAATACGTCATTATAGGCGGTATGGGCCCGATTTCATGAGGAGCCTGAATATTTCTAAATTCTGAAAATGTTGAACATTTATTGTAATAACTAAATAAATACCATACCAAAATTTCGTTTTCATTAAAGGGAGGCTTTACTACTCAGCAAGAAGGGATTAGACCACCCAGTGAGCCATCGAGGTCAATGTGACAGGTGGCTATCTCATTAACTCAGCTCTCATTTAACATAAGAAAAAGAGGATCATGGGGGACCAACAGGCACCGATTTGGGAAGTTTTCTATATAGAGGGAGCAAGTAGCTACAAGTAGGACAGTGTGCCTTTAAGACATGCAAAATATGACGTAAACAAGAACCAACATTCCATCTTGCTGCCCAAATATGAAACATAATTTCTGGGTGATGCGGGCAGCCCCCTCAAACCCCTCTTGCTGGTTTATCTTGATGTAAAACAGAAAGAATATTAATTAAAGCGACATCGAAAATCCCCCCTTATCACTATCCTGTTTATATATTCATAACCACCTCTCTCTCTCTCTCTCTATCTCTCTCTCTCTCTCTTTATCCTTTAATCCCCTTCTTCCTGTATCTTTCCAATATCATTTTTTTCTCCTTTTCTTCTTTCGAATTTTTGTTATCCTTTTCTTTTTCTGTACTTCTTATTCATTCCTTTTCTCTTCTCCCTCATCTACCTTACCTCTCCATCCTTCTTTTTCATGTTCTTCTTATTTTTTTATTTTATTTTTCTTCTCTGTCCTGAACTTCTTTTATTCCTTTGTTCTTATTTGTATATATGTTTCCAATTCAATCTATTTATTTTCTCTTCTTCTTCTCCTTCTTCTTTCTTCTCCTTCTTCTTCTTCTTCTTTTTCTTCTTCTTCTTCTTCATCTTCTTCATCATCATCTCCTTCTTCTTCTTCCTCCTCTTTATCTTTTTTTCTTCTTCTTATCCCCTTCCTCGATCCTCCCCCACCTTATTAATTTTGTTCTAAATTCTCTCCCTTTATTCTTCATCTAATCCCCCATTTACCTATCTATTCTGTCTGAATTATCGTCCTTGCTGAATAAACGTTCTAATTATAAAAAATGTTTAATCACCTCATTGTCGGTTTTTCCTTTCATCGTATTCTTTATTTTCTCTCATAGTTTTCCTCGTATCAAACACCATTTAAATTATCACATATCTCTCCTTTTCTCACATTTTAGTCGATGAAACCACTTTAACCCGAATTGAGGATGTATTTCAAAATCATCAAATATTCATGACGAATACAAACGCAACATAAATAGCTCAGGGTCGAAGGGCTATATCAATAACGACTTGGGTCTTATTAATGTTCTTCCAGAAAAATGATCAACCTTGTATGATAATTGCGATATAAGTATCCTACGATTGATTAGAAAATTCACAAAACGTTCTCATTTAAGATGCTTTTAACACTTATCGATCTGTTCGGGGATTTAATGACGGGTTATTAACGTATTATGACGCGGTTCATTCTTAAAATACGCTAGGTTCATACTAAGTACTCCAAATTTTAAAGAAAGATAGCTGTTAATTCCATATTTAAGAATGGTATCGTGTAATTGCTAAATAAATGCACGACGCTGAATTGTGATGACCAAACCGTTCCATGGCAACACAGCGTCTTGATCGCTACAAAAAGGGGGCGTCGAGGTATTATAAAGCCCAATATTGGTAAACAACATTACGTTGTCAATACTCCTGACGTTAATACATTACAAAATATTCACAAGACCAACAATTTCGTTTTACATTTAAAGCGTAATATATATATATCGTAAGTAAATAATAGTTGGAGTTGATCCACAGCAATTGGCCTTTTTATAAGTAAGCTTCTTATTATCCGTACCTTCTGTCAATACATTGAAGGCTAATATTTGGCATTATTTGAAATTAATTAGATCTAAAGGATCGAAACAAAGGATATGATACACAATATTTTTTACTCTTTTGCTTTGTCTCTTCATTTTGTTCTTCATTTACTCTTCTTCGTTCACGTTTTCTGTTTTGTCTTTTACATCCGACGTTTTCCGTCCAGCGTATTATCAAGCGATAGCCGTAGCAGACGACGATTCCCTTCGTAGGGACAGATCGATACCCTGCCATTGTACCGCCTAAATCAAATTAATTGCCACATTATCTCCAGCCGGGGTGGTTTGTACACGTTGAATGGCATCAAGAAATTGAAAACGTGAGTTTCAGACAAGTGATGTATGCTTCGTCGAGGAATTGTTATTGATTTTACCTCTTTTTTTGACAAGACGCATAAGTGGGCAATGTTGGCTGGGTTGAAATAATACGAGTCGAGAGGGGAGAACATTTTTTTTGGTTGTATTATTCAACATCGCTTTCCGCCAAGAAGGTGCGATGTATATGGGTATACCTCACGTCAATTGCCATTCCAGGTGTCATTTTACCGATTTTCTGCCAATTTGTTTTTAATGGAAATTTGTTTAAGTTTTTGTTCTTTGCTTCTTAAATTATTAACGGAGTAGAGTATGGGCAAAGGAATCGACCATAATATCCCAAGCGTGATGAAAAATGATCATTTATTTGGCATGGCCCGCAATGATCCGAGATATTAGTGTATAGGTTATTGGAAAGGAAAGGTTAAGTATTAATAAGCACCGATGGCACGACCAAGTTGAGTAGTGCAATTTTAAGAATAGAAAGTCATCATGCGTCAATTCGATCGCCCAATACTGCTGCTCATACGAGGACTCAATTATTCAACTCGTCCAATATGTTTTGCCGGCTGCTAACGAAGCGTCAATACCAATAATAGGCAAAAACATTCTGGTATATCTATATGCATCATGCATCCAGGCATTGACGCAAACTCTTTGGACTGACGCAACGAAACCTAGAAGAAGGATTATACTCTACGCAAACGAAAGTTAAAATGTATATAAAAATGACTCTGCATGTCAAGCGCAAACGTGAAACAAGACAGTAAAGGATGAACTTAGGCCACCAAAGAAAGTCAAACACAAAATATATAACCCAAGTATATCATGACATTTGTATAATGATAATAGAGGGGATATTCGAGAGGGAGAGAGAGAGAGAGAGAGAGAGAGGATGGAGCTGAGAAAAAATAGAAAACAAGAAGAGAAACACTGAAGACACAACCGAACCATGAAGAAACAAAATAACAAATTGGCCAAAATCAGAATAAAAAGAGAAAAAGTGAGATGCAAGAGAAAAAAAGAGGACAAGGAAAAGAGAAAAAGAGAGATCAATATATAAGGAGAAACTAGAAGCAAAGGAGATTGATGCTGTATTTGATAAACATTTTAATTCGTCCACCTAACCTGTGTAAGCAATACACATCGAAATGAAATGTGGACCGCTAATGTTTGCAATTGCCGTCGTAATCAATTTACCGAAAGCGAACACTGTTAATTTAGTGATATTTTGCACGCCTTCTCCCGTGAAAATCAACCACGTTTCGTTCTATTCCATTCCTTGAACTAATTACGCGACATTAGACAAATAATGTCAATTGACGGGCCTAATAAGATTCGCATTGCTAAACCTGATAGGGAATCGTACCCCGAATGAACGGCTTTAACAAAATTGTCGGCATCAACGAAATACATTGAAGAGGGCCGGGGGACACGACAAATGTATACTCAAATACCCGAAATGGCGAGAAATATTGGGGATGGGAGAGAAGTGGTTAGCGCGCTGAATTCGCGAGTTTATTTCCCCGTCCGCGGGCTATAATTTTGTTGTTGTTGAAATGTGTAGATTGATGAGAAATCTTTAGCTGTCTTTGATCTGTTTTGGGGGAGTAAGAGAATGACCTTTTCTTTCTCAAGTAGGGGCTCAGTTTCAAGAATTAGTCTTGGCCTTCAAACAGAAAGCCTGCCTCTAGTCATTTACAAAGCAGTGGTTCGGTAGATTTGGGATTTTTCAAGTAAAAAAGGCTGGGTGTTGGTTTCGATATAGGACGTTTGTTATGAATTAAAGTAAAACCAAGTGTTTCTCATTGAAAGAGTTGGATTTGGAACATAATTGAACCAAATTGTCCTATGTGTTCATCCATTATATAATTTGAAACGAAACAGAAGTGGAAAAGCTTTAGTTAATAATTATTATCCTCTAGACCAATCCTCAAAACAAAATAATATATTATATCTTTCTATTTTTTCTCAAAAACGAAAACAAAAACCCCCTCAAAAGATTTTGGGTTTTTTTTCGTTTGCAAATCACAAGATACACGCCCACTATAATTATATGGTAAGGAGGAATGGGAATGGAGAAGGGGGCAAACACTTGACGTGCCCCACTCCCCTGGGGCTCGTGATATGGGCACATATAAGTATATGATAAGAATATCATCGAAAATCGTTTAACCCTTTTGCTTTTCAATCATGAAGGTGATGGTTCAGATCCTGATTCCTGAGCGTGGTATATGTCCTTAGACAACTTTCTCTTTCAACTGAAGGTGTAATTTTTTAAAATCATTTTTGAAAAGCAATTCATTAAAATGTTTCATGAAAGAATAAGTATACTGCCGGGGAGGGGGGGGGGGGGCTGAAATCTATCGCCCGAATATCAACTCTCACGCAGTTACTTTAAAAATCTGTGATCGAGCAAGAAAAATAAATTATGTTTCAATTTAGTGCCAATGATATTTCAAAACCAAAGTATATTTATTTTTAATATTTAGACCACATTCTTTCTGCTCTCGTAATGACAAATACCGAATATATACTTTCTCATCATTACAGCCTTACGCAAAAAAGTTAACGTAATTTTGAAGGTAAACAAAAAAGTTTTATGTACTTTATGTACATTTTTATGTGTCAATTTAAATTTTGCATCTAGATAACAAGACATATGTAACAGTATTTGAAAAGTATGTCAAACACCTAATATCACACATACAATATACTTTATATATAGTCTTTCAAACATTGAAATGGCCTTTTTCAGTGGTCGCCATTGTCAGGTTTCCGGTTCGCCGACAAATTCAGTTTGCGCGCGCTAATGAGTGATATTTGAACTGCGCGAAAAAAATGGTAGGATCACCACACACACGCACACAAAAAGCGATGGGTGCAGCGATGACACGCTCGGGAAACCCGACGCATAATTAGTGACAGACACAGCTTTTTATCGGACAGCCGTGATCTAATGAAAGCTCCGTTGTCTTCAATTGTTATAAGGTAAAGTAATAGGTGCTGGAAGAATCTACCTAATTTCGATTGATGTCTGAGGGATAACATGGCCGCGAGTACGAAGTTGAACCTGGCATGGTTTATAGCGGGAGAGAGAGATGTTGGTCTTTTTTTCTCCAGGGGCCCTTTTCAGACCGTCTTCCTACCAGTCACGTGGAGTCGAAGCTTTCATTGTCATGGGGGAAAATAGTTTCTTTATGGCCACTCGATGGTGCTAATGCAGTAGTAATATGTATATCATAGTTTTGTTGTAGGTCATTATCATAAGCATTTTGTCATCAGTGAGGAGGGGAAATTCCCCAGAGATTCATACAAAATGGTTATGTGACTCATGTGAGGATGGCTAGCTGAATGATCACATTCATGCAGTTTGACAGTCATCATCAATCAGTGAATTAATCATCATAATTAATCAATCATAAACTCAACCAATCTGTTAATGTAATGATAATCGAGCACTTTGGTATTAAAGTGATTACTTGATTATTTGCTCGGTTGTTTTAATCGACTTAGTCATTAAATTCATGTTATAGTGATGGAATGATATATATATTTATTTAAATTAAATATATCATTCAATCGTATATTAATCAAATTTTTAACATGAAGTTAATCACACAATCAATCAAAACATTCAAGAAAACCACTTTCAAATATCTCAATCATCAACCAGATTCGATCTAACAATTGATAAATCACTCAGTGAATAATTGAAACATACAAACAAAAATATAATCAACTAATCACATTAACATCAACTTAACAAATTAATCACTCAATCAGTCACATTCAATCTAACAATCAATAATCAATCAGATTGAATCTACCAATAAACCAGTCACATTCGATCTAGAAATCAATCAAGGGAACAAAACATACAGAAGGCCTAATTCACAATCAATCAATCTTTCAGTCACACGTTATTATAACCTTTTATATATATATTAATGAATTGTCCACTCTTTTACAATGACCAAAAAACAACCAAACAACTGAAACTTATAATTAAAAAAAATGGAACGCCTTTCAAGAAATAATTTTAAGGTCTCGTTTATTCATTCATAAATATTTACACATTTACAAGAAATTCGATGGACGATAAATATATAATTTGAAAAGTATTCTAAAAGTGGAGAGTATTGATTATTCCCCGTACTCTAGAATATCGAATAAAGAGAAAGGGGGAGGGGCCAAGGAACGTGACAAGATGATGAAATAACCCCTCCCGCATCAGTCGCATTTCATTCACCCATATGGGCTGGTGCGTCCAATGTTCCCAGTGTCTCGTCAATGACTGGACCCGTGATACGGTACTGGTAGGCCTGAACATGGTGTGTGGATTTTCATTACCTTACTTAAAGCATTTAAAAGAAGGAAAGAAACGAAAAAGGAAAACAAAGATGTTTGTATCCAAGGAGACATTGAACAGAGGCAGTCGTCAACAAATACATTTATTTTGGCATTGATAGTTCATCCCTGATGAGAGTATGATTGACAAGTTTCTAGATAGCGACATAGGCATATACATGACAAAATAGTTGAATATTGATCTCTCTGTCGACACGGTATTTTGCTCACCGAGTCTTTGTCTAATTTTAAGTCTTTGCTCTTGTGATATTATAGGCCAACCAATATCGTTTCGAGAGAGATTTGTTCTTGAGGTGGACTCTTCACTCAGGGTTGAAGAGGATCATCCCGCTTTGATAAGGGTTCATGAGGATACCCTTATTCTCGACTGGTTCCACGCCGGTAGCATGTTGACGAGCTTTCAGTCGAAGTGCGGCGATGCTCAAGGCCCGTCGTTCGCTTCGTAACCACACATCTTGCTTCAGCCCTCGCAGCTCCTTCGCCAGACTTCCCTTCTTAGGACTAGATCCTAACGGGTCCAGTCCTAGACTACCTCTGGCGTTGAGTCCTGGACCCACTATCGATGGCGGGTTGTGCTCCTGGTACTTCCGTGGGACTGGGAAACACGGCGTGAGCAGGGCTGGGCCGAGATTCGACTGAGAGTTTCTCGAGGAAGCGAGACTGGCTTGCTTGGACCAAAAATCACAAAATGGCGTCGGATACAACATGGTGGCAGCAGCGTGCGATGCATGATGCAGCGGTAGCAGTCCATGAGCGGGAAACTGATAAGCAGACCTCGGGAGGGAACCCGATAAGACAGTGGCTGGCGTTGCCGGCAGACACGAGGTTGTTGATTGTTGTTGCGGTGGTGGTGGTGGTGGTGACGTCAGCAACCCTTGTCGATGGGCGCGGTCGATGCAAGCCAGACGGCATAGATGAGAAGATACAAGGTTCGAATCTGAGATCGGACCACCGAGGATTGGACCAAAGTGTGGATGAGGATGAAGACGGGGTTGCAAGCCGAGCTTCTCTCGCTTTCGCCATTTCGCTCGGCGATTTTGGAACCAGACCTATATCAGATGGGATTAAGGTTGTAAAACGTTTACATTTGCTGTCAACTGTTTTATATTTATGAAAGCCCACGTAGGGTGTGGGTGGGATATCCAGACATCAATTTAGTTAGATACTTAATTTTGTTTTCATTTGATTCGATTCGACAGGTATGATAAAAGAAGACCAATTACATTCCCAGGTTAAACCGACAAGGCTGGCCACCTTCTTTATTCCAGTATGGGTATAACAATATAAACATTAATTCATACAAGTTCCATTCAATATAACTCAAATGATACATAATACTAACAAAATCTTTGAAACTCTGTCAAAATACCTACTTATTTTAGCGCTATGTAGTTTTGCTTTTAGTTTGTTTTAATTTAATGAAACCTGTCAGATTTTACACTGGATTTTAAGGAAATTTCACGTTAAAATTTATCTTTATGAAATAAAATGATTGGAGGCTATTTAAAAGATGGCTGTTTAACATAAATGTTCAAAATGTTTATGCTAGTTTAACGTTCAAGCTCAAATGACTTCATGTAGGCCCTATTGATCACAACATAATTCTTTACAAACATGTCGTAAGATAATACAATCTTATATAAAGTGTAAACTAATACATTCTTACGTAAAAGAGGACGTGATTGATCAATTCATTTCACACAAATTTTGATGAATTTGGTAAGGAATGAAAACAGATTGCTACTAATATTCAACTTAGAAGTAAATTAGGAGATGGAATTATGTAACGCTCAGTCCTCTTTTTCGAGAAATATGCCACTGTATGACATGATGACTGCTAACTTTGAAAAACATAACAACAAAGGAAAAACCATCACTCAAAAGAACACAATTATAAAGACATCGTAGGATAAAAGGCGACAAAGCTAAACAAACTCAAGTTTAAAGGTTCAAAATATCTGAAACAAGGTTAACTGCATGCTTGGGGGTTGAAGATTGACGGTTTCTATAACTTTCAATTAGCGTATACTATACGGATGAAAATCCTCCAAATCCTGTTCTGAAAAGCATGTTGGGGTCACGGTAATGTTATAAACAATCATTTAATATACGAGAAAAGTCCTATGTCGACTGCTCTGAAATTCAATTCTCGATCAAGCTAATTTCTGATACGTAACAGAGTAAATAAATGACAAATTAAAGGACTATTTTTAGCCAGAATAAAATAGATGTTAACACATTAGTTATAAAGTTATATACAAGACATTCCAGTTCACCTTCACCAAAGATTGTGTTTTTTACTCCTTAAATGCACGCAATAATAGAATAAGAAAATAAGAAAAGAAAAAAAAGGAAAGGAAAATAAAACTCACCTGTACTCTAGCTTCAGTCAAGTCCACTCTCATAGCCAACTCCTCTCTGAAATAAAGCAAAAAACCGACATCAATTATAATTATCATCTACCTCTCAATAATTCGTTCTGCAAACACCATTGCCCATAGAGGCAGAATCACTTTTTATTTTATATACCTCCTTTCAAGAAATGACTGTGACAATATGAAATGTTCTTGATAGATAACGTTTACATCTCTTCAGAACGTTATTGATTAATCTTTACTGATTAGCACAGTTCTGAGAAGATATAGACTTTATCTCTCAATTATAATACAAATTTTCACAGACATTTCACAAAAAGAGGTAAGGGAAATTTATTCAATTTTTACGGGCGACAGTCTTTATTTTAATTATTGATATTGAGTGTCTCTATATTGTTGCACACTAAATCGTTGCATAAAAGGAGTATGGAAAGTATTCATTGCTCTTTGATAATGCAACAATTTCCAAGTTTTTGATATAATTACGTAGATATCAGAAAAGCTCAAAGCAAGATTATGATACATGAAACAACTTTTAACAACATGATAAACAAAATAATAGTGAATATATTTTCATAACTATTCTATAACAGAGAAAATGTCCACAATCAGTTGATGATGAATTTTTACCTCTAATTTTATATCAGACATAATTAGATAGTCATAATATGAATATGATTTACAAAGGTTAGGATACATTATGTATACGAAAATTAGTCAGACATCAAGCAAATATGTAAAACATTCGGACGTTTATATATTTCTTAACAATCGTTCGAACTCGATAAACGAAAATTTAGTCGCATGAAATGATTTCACTAAATTAAGTTTTCGATAATTATTATGGGAAGCCTTTTTTCCTATTTCAAGGAAAGACGAAATGTTGAAAAGCAAATGATACAAACATTTATATTCTTATATTTAATAAAAGATAATAAATAATTTATAGAATAAATTACTTTCGGATGAATATCCTTCAAATTGCAAACAAAATGAGACTAGTTAACTCACTCACGAAACATGGTGATCAAAATGTTTTTTGTTTTGTTTTTGTTGTTTTGTTGGGGTATTCATTATCAGCACGGTCGCAACTGCCGGTACTTTCGAGAATCAACCAAATCGGGCAAATTTAATGACCTTTTACGTCACCTTTTGAAATGTGCATATATTACAATGACAAGTTACGTAATCCGAACATGATATATGGGACATACAATAGGGTACCGAAATTGCCCTCCAGATGACTTTGCGAAAGTAGTTGTGATCATAAAAGAGGCAAAGAAGGTCTGTTTTTAATGGTTTATATTCTTTTTCTATTTCCTGTATTTGCGTGAAGCAAAATTTGTTATACATTTAAGTAAATTGATAATACTTATGTCATTAATAAGTCATAAAAACAGAATTTTGAATGTCGAGTAAAAAAAAGGAGAAACTAAGATAATCCTTCCTAATTCATGAAGATTTGTGTTCTTCTTATCTTACCTTGTAAACACATCAGGATAATGCGTCTTGCAGAAGGCTCGTTCTAATTCTTCAAGCTGATAACTGGTGAAAGTCGTACGATACCGTCGTTGCTTTCGCTTGGTCGGTCGGTCTCCGGCATTGGATCCGTGTTCATCTGGATTCTCATCATCGCCATCACTGTCAAAGTCGTCAACGTATCTCGATGATTCGTTTCTTTCTTGATCACCCACCCTCATCGTCGTCGCTGTCGTCGAGTGCGCTTCTGGTTGAGGATCATTCGGTCTCCAAATTCTAGCCGCTCTCGAGACCCCTACGTCCACATCTTCTTTCGATGTCTCCTTTTCATCTCCGTCAAGTGCAGGCCTCCAAATATGGATGCTTCTCTCGGTTTTGTCTTTCTTTTCAACGCTGCTGTCGAGGACTTGCGTTTTAATTAAACTTGTGAAAACTTGCTCCTTGTCTTTAACTCTGGCGTCGGTCATTCCCGAAACGTTCACCCAAGATCCCGAATTCATCATCATATCATTGCATTTTCCCACACTTCCAGTCATCCCTGCTAGACCTCTTGTAGCCGGAGCGACTGCACCGAATGCATTGGACTCACGAACCACCATCCCGGCTTCTCGATGCCTCTCCGGGGATGGGACACTGGCATTCCACCTGTTGTCTGCGTCCATTGTTCGCGGCGTGCAACACACAGCGGAGTCCATCGCGATCTGTGGCGCCTCAAATTTTCTCTTCATTCCTCCCGCGCGCTTTCCCCAAAATCGACGCAGGATCGTCTGCTAAATGATTGACGTTTAAAATGGCTATAACTTAAGTCTTCGCTCCACCTCGCTTCGGTTTTTTCTTCTCCTGATATGTGTCAAATGGTTCGATTACTGACACCTCTTCGATGGCTTCTCAACACGTTGAAGAGATTAACACTGTTCCCAGTCTGATTGTGAATGATGGATCTCTTTGACAATGTTGGAAGCTTGCTTTGTTTCCTTAATTTGATTTCGATTGACTGTATAGAGCCTTTATCTCACTTGTAAAGACTGCAGATCCTACTTGAATACAATGTCGGCTTAAGTTCTTCTTTGTTTTCTTTGTTTCCCCTATTTCCGCAGACTTCCCGTAATGATTATGTCTATATCTTCCTAGGCGTATACCTGCGTGAGAAAGGAAATAGATTAAACAAGATAATAATAACATTATTAAAACGAATGATTCACGAAAACCAAACAGTTAGAACGCAAGACAATACACAAATGGACAATATGAAGAAAGGCAATTATTACCTAATAGTTAAGGAAATTATACGATCGTACGATGATTTGTTTATTAGCAACCGTGTCTTAGATTTACCGATATTCGCGTATTTCTTACAAAAATATATAATTTTTATTGGAAAATATGATTAGTAGAATATTCCATAATTTGCGCAGTGAATACTCTCATAATATTGTTGTTCTGAAATTATATTATCCTGTAAATGGCTTCATCGTTTAATGGTGATATTTTAACCAGTGATTTTAAGTAGCAACGTTTTTAGTATGTACATAATTATTTATGTATATATATTCAGTTTCAGTTTAGTTTATTTTATTTCACATGAAAAACAATATATTAAAAATATATATAGCATATCAACAATATATATATATATATATGAACAATAAAGACATCTAATTGAAGTTAAATTAAATCAAAATTACTTGTGAAAAAAGGACCTTAATAAAAAACATAGCTTATAGAGTTTTAGTTCCTCAAAATAATTTTGACACAGTGTCATTCATAATCAGGTAGAAGGATAATAATTAAAAAAATAAAAAAGCAAGTATTAAGTATAGCAAAGTATACAGACAAAAACTATAACAAGATATAAATGATGGATGTTAGAAAAAAGATAAATGGGAATAAAGTTAAGAAAGGTAGTCAGAAGAAGAATGAGAAGATTGTTAGGAGAGGAAGTTTTATAATGGAATGTGTAAGGTCTGGAGTCACAGTCGGGGGGGGGGGGGGGAATAGAACAGTAGTGCATTACACGTACAAATTAAATAATGACAATTTAATTTTTTTTTTAAAGCTGCCACACTTTTAAGCTCTTTGAGATTCGGATCAATGTTGCTCCAGTATAATATAAGGAAACAATCTTGCAGTAATAAGACCTTAAAATTGTTAGAAACATTTTGGCATAGTATGACGAAATCAGGTTTACTTTAAAAATAGAAAAAATGTTCTCGGAAGCGTTGCGCGAAATGTGGAAAAAACACCTTACGGCAGTGCTTAAGGTGTTGATGATCACAGGGATACTAACGTTTTTAAAAATTAATGTTAAAATAGTTTACTTTAAATTCTTCATTTGAAATACATAAAATAAGCAGGTTCTTATATTTTCCGAGCAATCTAGCATGTTTATCAGAGACTCGATCGTTTATGATGTGGACTTAGCCTATGAGAGTGCCACTGTGTACATCGAAAGAACAATTGCAATATATAAACCTTCAGTACTCTAAAGTCTCTAAATAAATTACAACTTACAAGAGATGTTTAAACTGTATGTATATGTGTATATAGCATAAAGTAACCAAGCCAAAGTGATATGAATGTCATTATCTAAAAAATATAATAGAATGGGAAACAAGAAAAAATGAAATATAAAGTCTGACAAATGAAAAAAAAATTACCTTGACATTAATTATGAAAATAAAAGTTTACTGGCTTTGAAAATACAAACATTAAAAAAAACGAGAAAAAAAAGAAGATAGAAACTTTTCTTTTACACTAACAAAAAGATAATTGTTCCAATCTCAAACTAGGGAATATCAAATGATAGCTATGATATGATTATCTATTTAACTAAGTTGAAATAAAGATGATAAGGTTAAGTTACAGTAATATTTTACATGTCATGGCAGCTAGTAGAGTTTAAAATTTGATATATTCAAATTAAGCGAACTACATAGAGCATCATTAAAATCATACATTGATAAACAATCACTAACAATTGAAAATACAACTCAAATAACGAACTTTTTTTGTAAATTGGGTTAAGGAAAAAGTTACCTTGAGTGTTGTTTTTGGGCGTTCTTGAAGACGTTGATTGCTCAGATGAAAGATATACAGTGCTGATCTAGTCTCAAGTTAGGCTGGTATATATTCTTTGACCTCATCCAGTCAAACCACTTCTGGTCTGGTCCAAGTTCTAATGTGTCAACTGGCCCAAGTCCTGAACCAGAATAAGGGGTGGTCCTTCCTTTCCACTCCCTTTCAAACACCTCTCGGCAAGACTCAAACGCACACCCAAACACCTTTTCTTTCACAACACCTTGCACTAAAAACTCGCCAATGGGCGTCAATCTCCACTAATTCTTCGCACAATGTCCTCGCTACTTTTGTGGAAGATACCGCCAGCATATAATTGGATATGCAAAGCCCAGCGGTGTAACATCAAAGGCCAGCGCGTTCCTTCAAACGTTTTTGTAGTCCATAATGATTACCAAAACGGTGTCAACAGGTAAAAAATATGTAGCAAACGGTAGGAGGGGAACACTGTCTTGTCAAGCCCGCATTATCTCGATTAGCCCATTTGAAGAGGGTAAATAAGTTTAGGTTTCTTTTTCACTTTCTCTTTAACGAATTTCCATTAAGATGCGACACATAGCCACTTAACACCCGTATCAGCGGGCTTCAAAACAAGCGAACAATGGCGGCTATAGTGGGGACAGGGGTGGATTGTTGGACAACAAATAGAAGCAACATTTGACAATTGTTTGTGATATGGCATGCTTGTTTGCTCAATTAATTATTGACGTGCCCACTGGGCAGGCTTCTCGCCTCGCTCGTCGGCCAGGTCGGGCGGGGGTGGGTTGACGTCGGGGTGTGAATTGGAAAAGACACACCACTCCAAAGAGTCGGGCATATTCTGTAAAGGTAAACTATGGAGCTTCGTGTGCGGAGGAATGTTAGTCCTGTTAGTATTTTGAATTAGGACAAAACAGCTGTAGGAAGAGTTTCGGCAGTTTTTTCTTGTTTTTTCACATGACACCGTTTGCTCTCCATAAATTGGAACTTAATTATCGGGAAGATGCGATGGTCTCCAATAGAAGAAATAGGTAGAGAGAGAGAGAGAGAGAGGGGGGGGGGGAGAATAGAGAGAGAGAGAGAGAGAGAGAGAGAGAGAGAGAGAGGATAAATAAAAAGAGAAGGGGAGAAAGAGACAGAGAGAGAGAAAGATATATAAAACAAGAGATTCGTGAAGATAAAAAAAATAGGTATATAAGAGATATTGAGAGGAACAAAATGTTTCTATATATTAGATTTTAAAACATTTAGTGGTATCATGGCAATTTCACTTCGTAATTACTTTGCGATTGATTTACTTCGGTTGATTGTGCAATTCAATTCTCGTTAGGCATGATAATTTAAGTTCTTTATTAAATGTTTGGAGATTTGAGTAAGGAAAGAAGGAATGCATGTTATGATAATAACAATTGTATGTAGCGCATAATAGTAATGTTTCTAAGCGCTGTACTATAATGTTACTATATACACCATTTATCATGTGGCAATGAATAGCAGAACGAAGTGATACAATTTGTGTTCTTCCAAGAGTTCTTTTCAAGAGCATAGTCTTACAGGCTAAATGTCGCCAATAGAAAGGAGGGTGTGGTACTTCAGTCTCTTGCCGAGTTTCAACTTTCCAGTTTCAAATTTTTGATAATTTTTGAAATTGTATTTTCGACGTCAAAAATATACTAGATAATTAAGATGTATAAGATGTCACTCGGAGATATAACATGACACATGTCACATTATGGTCATGATAATTATTAATTACCCTGGTACATCTCTAAGCATCACATAAACGCACGTACCCCTCCCCCCCCCACCTTATCGGACGGGGGAAGAGAATGAGAGTGAGTGAGAGAGAGAGGAGAGAGAGAGAGGGGGACAGACAGAGATATAGAGAGGTGAGAGAAAGAGAGAGAGATAGAGGGAGAGAGAGATAGTGATAGAGAGAGAGAGAATGAGACAGACATAGAGAGAGAGAGAGAGAGAGAGTGTGTGTGTGTGTGTGTGTGTGTGAGAGAGAAATTGAGAGAAATTGAAAAGAAGATAATAGAACCACCCCACACCATAGACGTAAGTGTTAGCCTTGTAAATTCCCATTTTATCAGGAATCGAAATAGTTCAAGACTGCTACCCCCCCCCAACCCCCTCCAGTTTTTATTGTCCATCAATGATTATTCCAATGCTACGCCACAGAGTGTCTTTCGACGTGTTTGATTTCGCTTATCTGTAGGACTATTTTTTTCTTTTAATATATAGACAAGTGCTACGTCTCACAAAGAGTTGATATCAATCGCAACTAATAAGAAAAAGGAGACTGCAAACTTGCGATTGATTGGAGAACTTGCGATTGATTGGAACAGTCGCAACTCTTTATAAGACGGGGCCCAGTAGTCAGTCTTTGACGACGAGATGGCGCTATTCAAAATACATCAGTCTGGTATGATGAAGCACCATACAGGGAGTAGTTCGAGAGTCGTAAATTTGAATCTGGCCTATTTAATTTAGATCTCCATGCACCATGCAGCAACCTCCCCTACTTACTTGCTGCCAGCCGAAGACGGCGTGATCATTAAATTAGGACGCCCGGCGAAAAATTGGGGGTGGTGAGCGTATTATGAGTTTGTTGATAACACCTTCTTCGGCGGCTTGAATCAATAATAATTTATTGTAGGAAATATAATATGAGGAACCGGCCAGATTTTGGATGTATCGTCAAAACAACATTCCACGAATGCCCCATCCCCTCAGCATTTCACTATTTACAGACAGAACATCTAAAAAGCTCTAAATTAATTTCTTTGAATTCATCAGAAAATTAATAATTTAAGAATGAAATTGAAATACAGGCAAAGTGGTAGTGAATATCCTGTGATTCAGGAGCCTCTGGCAAAAAAATAGTTGCTCTTACAAAAGTGAAAAGCCACCAGCCGTCACCTGTAGATGAATAATGAGGAAAATGGGTAAGATTATAAGCACAGAAACCTAGCTTATATCGTGTCATGCGTGTAAAAGGATTTCAAGAAAATTCAACTAAACAATCAACGAAACCTTTGAAGAGATTATATTAAAGATCATGGGAAAGACATAAACAACTAAAGACAGGGGGTATTATGACGAACATTTAGACGGGAAGGTCAATCAACAAAAAGGTAGAACCCGGAAAAAAATTCTAGGAATCTACTTTCCTTTCATTTCCAAGGGTTGGAAGGTTTTCTTTCACGCTACATTGAATTTAAAGCACTTTTAAGCTCCCACAAATCCCAGATTACTTTTAGGTGCCATGATTTATTTATTTTTCATCAAACATATTTTTCTCTCACAGCCTTCACAGTTTAATGCTTGTTCAGTTGATTATGTCAGTGTTTTTATGTTGACGGAAAGGGTAATACGATTCATATTTCTGTATCTTAGCCACACCCACGAGACCGACAACTGACCGAACGAACAATACACCAGTTTACGGTTGTGCGCGCCATTTTAAAGGTAAAGACCAGTATTGGAAACGCCCAAATTTCAAAAAATGACATGATGATAAAAAATTTGCCGGGAAACCGCCTACTAATTCATATATTTGGTAAATTTGTTTCTCTCATGGTCTGTGAGAGATATAGGGTAGTCCCATATACATCTTTCTGTGTATAGTGCTTGTAACTTTACGAAGAATGGGCCAAATTTCTTATCATTTTGATGATTCCAAACCTTGCAGATGCTAGATGCTAGATGATCAACCTTTTCTGATCGATTCCACAACGTTTCTTTCACAATGCAATCGCATGACCATAACTGGTCTTTACCTTTAAACAAAGCCAATGACCTAGAGGTCATGTATTTTTACGTAAATTAAGATTGCGCCCATGTAAGTTCTGATGACATCACAATGACAATGACAATGGCAATTTATTCTCATGTCACCCACAGTGGGGTATTGGAGAAGTGTACAATCGGTTTGAATTTGTCAATTAAACACTGTGAAATATACAATACAAATAGAATTAATGTTAATCCATACAAAATAACACTATCGACAATAGTGAGAAAAATTATGATGATAATAATAATAACAATATTGATGATGATAATAATAATAATAATAAAAAAAAAAAACGATAATATTAATTGAAACGATAATTAATGACGAAATTAATGGAAGCAATTGAAAAAGAAATTTACTGGCACCAGTAAATTGATATCTGAGTTAATGAATTACTGAAATATTCTTGATATCAATTTAATAAATTGATAAAAGACAAAAAAGAGAAAAATAAAGTTAATATTGAACTCATAACATGTTTTTGCACATACTTAAATTAATGAAAACGAAGCATTATTTTTCGACAGAATTTTACTAAGTTTAAACGTGTTTGTACATTATTGGAGTTAAAAAGCTGACCCATTTTCAGTGTATTTGGTCTTTCAATAAAATATTTATTGATGAACAATTTTCTTCCTGAACGAAAGGTAGGGCATACAAACAAGTAATGAAACTCATCCCCAAGCGATAATTGCAAATTGCACAGTGTACATAGCCTCATTTCTCTTGGAGTATTTGAATATCTACCAGCTACAATCGGCAGGTAATGATTGCCACAGCGAAAACGACTTTGTGAAGCTCTGCTCTACACGGTATAGCCACGTTCACACATAACGTTTTTAACCGTTTCCAGAAACCGTCAAGACACAATGCCCATTGGACACAAGGCGTCAGATCGTTTGCGTTATTACCTAATGAGCATGTGAAGGCAATATTGACTCATGTGCCAGCAAATCAACACTGCACATTTTTACAATTTTGTTTTTGTTTTCATTTTGAAATTATAATCATATCAAGACTGCGCCAGACACTGACGCATTGTTACGTCAGGAAAATTGCGCCTCGTGCGCAATGGACTTGAGAATACGGTATTGCGTTCCATATTTTTGTATCATGTAACACATTTACGAATGAGTACCCAATTACAAGTTTGTATGCCTTTGTTTATACGTAGCTTCATCTTTTTCTTTTCCCTATTTGAGATTCCCCTTTTCACAAAATGTATGTGTTTTTTCTCGTCTTTTTGTTTGTTTTCGTTTGTATGTTTTTTTTGTTTGTGTGTGCATTTCGACTAATTTTGAGGACGTTAACTGCGAGATATGTGTTGACGGGGCTTTAATAATCCATGTTTAATTTCTTAACTAAAAATATATTTCTACATTTCTTGGTTTATAATGGAAATGTTCATAATTGATTTACAATGTTTTGTTGGAAACATAAATAAATTGAATTGAATTGAATTGAATCTTTGAATCTTTTTCATGTTACCTTGAGAGTGAGAGTACGCTTCATTAGGTGGTCCTCATTAGTGGTATTAGCAGGGCTATTCTTCTCTTCAAAATGGGCTCGTCGGCTCAGAGTTATCGGGGTCAAGTAGGGGGAGGGGGGCTGACCGGGGGTCGGCGTAATGAGTGCATTCTTATTTACTGTAATAGAGTTATTGATTGATCTCGAAGATCACACTTCTTATTTCTTTT